AATGGAGAAAATTGGAGAATCATGGAAGAGCCTCCTCCTTTCCCCAGGTGGTAAGGAAGTACTGTTGAAGGCTGTTATTCAGGCTATTCCGGCTTACATTATGAGTATTTTCTTCCTCCCTCGATCTTTGACAAACAAGATGGATTCTATTCTTAAGCGCTTTTTCTGGTCGGGCTCTATGAAAAAGCAATCCATTCATTGGTGTGATGCGAGAGTTGTGGAAAAGCCAAAAGAGGAGGGAGGCTTGGGTTTTAAAAATTTCCACCTTATGAATGTGGCATTGATCGGTAAACAAATTTGGAGGATGTTGGATAACCCGGAAGCTTTGTGGGTCAAGCTCTTAAAGGGACTTTACTTTGCTAATGGGGAACTTTACTCGGCTAAGAAGGGTAGAAACGGATCATGGATTTGGAACGGATTTTGTGATGTGAAGGATAAGATGAAGATTGGATTGATTAAAGGGATTTTGTCTGGTGAGGGAACCAATTTCCATAAGGATCCATGGGTACCTTCTATTCCCAACTTTTCGCTATCCAACCTGCAGCTGGAACCATCTCAGGTCAGCGATTGGATTGTTGCCTCTTCTCGAAGTTGGAATTCCGATGCTATTCGAGCAGAGGTCACTGAAGAGGTGGCTCAGGCTATTATGAGAGTTCCAATTGGTCCCCCGGAGACGGAGGATAAGTGGATATGGAGGTACACCGAGTCTGGCTCCTACACTGTGAGATCAGCCTATAGAGCCTTTCGGGAAGCGAGGGACAGAAGTTTTCATCCTGTCAATGATGATGGAGCTCGACCTAATAGACAGGATTGGAGGTGGTTATGGTCACTTTCACTTCCTCCCAAGCTCCGATTCTTCATTTGGAAAAGCTCGAAGAATGCTCTTGCAACTCGAGCACGCCTTTTCTCGCGCGAGTGTGCTCCAGCCTCCACCTGCCCTTTATGCAATTATCAGGATGAGCCTGTTCTCCATTGTTTTTTTCATTGTCAGCATGCTCATAACACATGGTTACTCGGTGGATTACTGACAACCTTTCCAGATCCTTATATGTCCTTTGCAGAGTGGTTCTTTAGCCTCAAGGATCAAATGCCGGATGAGCAGATTGCCCGCCTTGTCTGCTGTTTATGGAGTATCTGGAAGGCTCGAAATGGTTTCATCTTTGGGAGCAGGGCTATTTCCCCAGCCACCACGGCGACTTTAGCTAATCGTGAATTCATGAACATCAACGAAGCTCGAGAGACAACCTCACTATCCTCGATCCTGAGATCAGCTAGTTGTCATTCTCAGCCTAGGGGATCCCGTCGAAACCCCTCACCACCGCCTGGCCCTTTTGAACGATTTGTGCACTGTGACGGCTCCTTTGTTTCGGAGTCTCAGTTGGCGGCTTGTGGGATTACCATTGCTGATGCCCACGGTCAGGTGATTGACGGCAAGGCTGAGAAGTTCTATTGTTCCTACCCGATTCAGGCAGAAGCATTTGCTATTCTGGGTGCTGTGGTGTTGGCGGCCCAAGTGTCATGTCCGACGTGTATCAAAAGCGACTGCCAACGTCTGATTGTGGCTCTGATTCAAGACCCCTGCGATTGGCCTTGGCAATGTCGTGCGACCCTGGCCCGGATTGTGTCTCTTCTTCAGGGGGCTCCTTGGATCAAGTTGTCCTTCGTTCCTCGGCGATTTAATTCTCTTGCGGATTGGGTTGCTAGGAATGCCCGACTTGATCTCTTACCACAGGATTGGATTGTCATTGCAAATTTGATTTCGCCCTTGTTGTAGCCTTTTGTTTCTGCTTGTCTGGTTTGGTATAATAGAAGATGTTCCATTGTAAAAAAAAAAAAAAAAAAAGGCTTCCAGATTTGGACTTCTCCGCGACGCCACCTGCCTCTTCCCCTAATCGCCCTAAAAAGAAGCTTTGGCGACCTCTTTCTGCCACCGCAACAACCAATCCAATATCATAGCCGGAGATCCTCCACCCCCCTCCTCCTCCGAGCCGCCACAGCCACAGCCACAGCCGACGATGGGGGCGACGAGAGGCTTATTATTATTAAGGACTCTCTTCCTGGCGCTGGCCTGCACCTACGCCCCCATTCTCTTCTACAATTACTACCTTTATCCAGCCTACTTCAAGGACTCCTACACCACGTACGTAAGCCGCCGCCGCCTTCATTCATTCCAGCGACCAAGCCTTCTTCTTCTTCTCTCTTCTTCCTTATTCTGCATTTCTTTCTTCACACCTGTGATCGATGCTTATATATACGTTTAACTGATGATATCTTGCTGATAACGCAGATGGCTGTGTACCGTCATCCTTGGCTACTCCATCCACATTTTCGCCTTAGCGGTAATTAATTAATTACAACCAGCATACTTCATATATATATATATATATATATTTTTTTTTTTCTCTCTTTCAACTACTGCATCTTTTGTACAACTTAATTATAACTGATCAAGCAACATAACAATAAACCCAAAAATTTCAATTGGTTAAACTTACCTGCAAGTAATTAATCCGATTTTGTTTTATTTTTATGCTAATGGTACACTTACTATATACTTTGGATTTATTTTTATGCTAATGGTATGGCACCCATCCTGCCTTAAATCTTTTTTTTTATGAGGCCGATATAGATTTATTTTTATTGTTATATATTACCAAAAGAGATTCGAACAACCAATAGTAAAATCACTAGACTAATCCCTTATACACGGCTCTCCGTTGGATCTTGTGATTAGTCTTTCTCATAAGAATTTGAATTCGGATGGCTGCAGCTTGAACTGGAACGATGTGTTTGTGTAGTTCAGGTTGTGCCTCATAAATGCATTTTTAGGTCGATCTTATATAGGATTAGGTCGACCTAATTTGCACTTTTAGGTCGACCTTATGTGAGGTTCAACGACGCGGTGGACCTTTTATAGCAAATGGTCGACCTTTTTGGGAAGCGATGTGTGTGGTTCTTTTGCTCATACAAATAACGTTTCAAACCAACAGAATCAGTCATAAATAATGATAACAAGGATTTGACTCACTATGACACAACTCCTAGCAAAGGCCAAGTGTAACCAATGAAAGGGACTGCGGGTCTCTAGAGTTACTATTACTCAGTTTTAGTTCATTATCTAGCAAACCAGATTAAGATAGAACAACTAAAAGTACTCTAGCAAACTACAGTTAAAGTTAATCCAATTACAGGTTGGAATCACACTTACGTATGATTCCCCCTAGATTGCAGTTAAGCCTAGTTGTAATTCACCCAATTCAATTCAGCTGACATCTACACTATGGAAAGTTCTCAAACCGTCTAGAGTCTCGACTAAAGTGTTCCAAACCCTCTGAGTTCGAAAATCCGACGGACGACTAATCTCCACCGGCAAAAGCTAACTGATGCACTATCACACAAAACTTCCTCTACTGGATTTCAACTCCAGTACAGAGCAGTGAATCGAATTCTCGACTAAAGTCGTCGATTCACCACTTCCAATTCAGGATGCTCTTTCAACCTATGCAGAGACTATCATTCTAGGTCAAAGCAGGAATCACAAGAACTTGATCAAGACTCAAGCAATTCTGAATAAAAACCTCAACTAAATATAGAATGTCAATCAATCATGAGTTCGAGTTCATACAACTCTTCCTAGCATACAAATCTAGGGTTCCTCAAAACCTAAGTGAAGGGAAGTTAATCCATAGAGAAGAGAGAAAATGCAGTATTGACCTTCAATCTTAATGTCTGGGCTTGTTCCTCAAGTTTCCAAGGAAAAGAAATCCTCCAAGATCGCCCTCAAATCACCCTCTCTCTCTTGGTTCTTCCCTTGGGTGTTTGGGAACCAAAACCCAGCTCTTCCCCTACAAAAAGACACAAAACAGGCTTTTAACAGCTTGTGTTCGCGAAACCCGGTTCAAATACCCGGTCGGGTATTTAAGGAGCTGGTCGGGTATCAATAAAATGCTCCGAGTCACTTTTCTGGGTAAAAGGGAAAATACCCGGTCGGGTATTTTTAGTTCACGACCGGGGGACCTTCTGATGCTACCAAAAATACCCTATCAGATGGTCAAAATACCCGGTCGGGTATTTTGCAGTTCCGGGTCCCCAATTTTTGATTCTTCGTTTATCCCTCGTTCGGTCTCCAAATTAAGTGTCGTTTGATCCCAGACGTTCGTAGTCTTGTCCTCTTCCTTCTCATTACAAGCTTACATGATTCTATGGTCAGAAAGTGTGGTAGAAATCCATTCTTCTTCAGGTCATGCCCGAGTTTCACCCCCCGAGTTGCCAATTGATCTCCGATTGACTTAAAACTTGCGTCTATTCTTCACTTTATGTGCTAGGACCTGAAATGTGACAAAGGAGTACAACCTAGCGTAAAATAGGCCAACGAAGTGATAATGCAAGCTTAAATGATCAAAAAGCAGAGGGGAAAACATGTGCAAATATCGAGTCATCAAACTCATAATTTCATAACATAACAACTAAACAAACTAACAAGAAATAAAAACACAATCGTTTTTAACACTTAACAATAAAAACACACAATCTAAATCGTCGAGTTCCTACTCCTGTCCCCTCTCTCCCTCATTCACATTTTCTTCATTGGTGTTGCTAGAATTATGGTAGTCGGAACTTACGGTGACATGCATGTATATTCCACTGAAAGATCGAAACTCATCTCGCATATCATTCACGGTCACCTGCAGTGTGCTCATCTGTGTGATCATTTGCCCCATGTAGTCGTACATGCCAGTCATATGGGTGGAAATCTGGCCCTTGTAGTCGTACATGCCATCCATGCGTTTCCCAAAAGGTCGACCATTTGCAATAAAAGGTCAACCGCGTCGTTGAACCTCACAAAACTTGAAACGGCATATTAGGTCGACCTAATCCTATATAAGGTCGAACTAAAAGTGCATATTAGGTCGACCTAATTCTATATAAGTTCGGCCTAAAAGTGCAGATTAGGTCGACCTAATCCTATATAAGGTCGACCTAATCCTATATAAGGTCGACCTAAAAGTGCAGATTAGGTCGTCCTAAAAGTGCAAGTTACGGTAACATGCATGTCACCATAAGCATAACCTAAACATTATTGTTGCTTACTCTCTCACTCTTTGTTGTGTTTCAGCTTTGGGTTGCCTACAAGGAGTCCAACTCTTTGCATTCCGCAGTTTTGATATTTCTCATGTACTGGAGTGGCAGGTGCGTTTGCTGGTGACAGATCCAGTTCTACCTAGGGCTTGCTTTTTCACTAGATTGGATGCCTTGGGTTTTTTTTAATATTTATATATATGTGTAGATGGAAGATCTATCCATCTGATCAATGATGTTTCTCTTCGTTTTCACTATGTACGTTCAGTGTGGCGACTGGCATCTATATCTTTATTCAGTTTCTCAAGCTGTCACCTCAAGAATCCGCACAAGACCCTATCTACCATGTTCTGTTGCGCCCTGAACACAAGTAAGTAATTCAGATGCATCCACATTACAATACATACCATTAGGTATGTTGGTTTTGTTCATGGTTGGAAGTGGAAGACATCCATCTTTGATGACGGACCATCTTCAAATCATAATGTAACTAATAGACTTGCTTTTAGGAGAACTGAGGAACGAAGGCAGCAGAAGAATAAGAAGAATTCTTCTTCTTCAGTCGTCCGTGCAAGAATAGCTTTCATAGTTTGGGCTTGCTTGATGATAGCGGCTGTCATTTACTCTGTTCTCGCTGTTGGAACTCCTTTCCGCATGGAGGTCCTCCTCTCAGTGTAAGATTTTAATGCAGCGTAACGATTTCATCACCTTTCTCAACAAGAATGGAGCCATAATTTTTTATTAGGGGGTCAAAAAAGATTTCAATACACTTGTAATAACATATACATGTCACACTTAAACCCACTAAATTTTATTTATATAGAAAATCCATTTACCAATCTAATAATTCCAAACAAAATTATTATCATAATTCCAAAATTTTAAATTTAATCTAGCCATAAAATATAGTGGTCAAGCTTCGACCATTTATAAACAGAAACATGATAAATTTCCAAAGAAATTAACTTAAGAAGATAATCAACATTGAACAAGTGATTCCAAAGAACCTAAGATAAATTGAAGAAGAAAATTCAGAAAAAATGTGGTTAGGCTAATAATGAGCAAGAAATTGAGAAAAAAGCGTGGGAATGCAAATATATAGCAAAAAATTGATCACAATGATGGACCTAAGTTTTGCACTACTTCAAATATATAGCAGAAAATTCACGTTTTGTACTGCTTCAAATGTTTGGGGGGCCATGGCCCCTCTTTATACAAGCTAGCTCCGCCCCTGTTTCTCAATCGCTCCATCTCTATCTATCTATCCGGTTGTCGAATGTGGCTTTTAATTAACAAGTGAACAAATTAAACATGTTGTTGGGTTTGCATGTCCAGGTGGATGATACCAGCATTACTTGACTGCTCTTTTCTTTCTCTGATTCTTTTGGTAAGTCCAAACAATCCTCCTCTACTTTTTTTATTATCATGCAGGTGTTTGTAAGAATATGCTTAATAGTGTTTTTATTTTTACTTTTTTATATTTTGCATCTTAAACTATTTTTATTTCAAACTGTTAAAGTACACGATCCTCTCTTAATTTAGTTTTTAACCTAACAAGACTAGCATTGATCCATTCTAAGCACATTTTTCGAGATTTTTTTTTTTTTTTTGGTTCTTGTGATGGATTGCGGTAGACATAGAATGCACTGAAAATATATATTTTGAGTGTTTACACATCCCAAAATATTCAGAATCGTGTCTTGAATATTTAAAAGTTAGTCTTTTTAATGTTTCTTAAAAAGAGGAGAGTTTGTGTCTAAAACAGATTTCAAAAGACATTATTAAAAAAAAAACAGATTTTAAAAAAAGTTTTTCAAGAACCAAAATAAACAAATTAATTAAGAAGAAAGAACATCATTAAGATGTGGATTCTCTTGGGGGTGCTCATATATTTTTTGTATCCATTGAACCTGTTCCTTGCTAATGTTTGTTGCCAAATTAATGTAGGTGTGGATTGCCCACAAGGAAGAAAGTTGGTTAAGTGTTTCACTGTGGGTACTTCTCTATATATGCCTTGGCAGGTAGTTTTCTACTTCATTAAGCACAGTTAAATGCCTTTTATACGTTTTTTGACAAGTGAATCTGTACACCAACCGATGTATTTCCCTCTATCGACCTCTCTTTGCAGCCTTGCTACTTGTGCTTACATGGCAAAACAGCTGTTTCAACTCAGTTCTCAAGATCCACTTTACTTAGTTTTGGTGAAACGCAACAACAGGGCTTCCAAACGTACACCACCGTCCCTGCTCAACGTTGATCACGATTAAGTGCTTCATAGAATAAGATATGTTTGGTGTCTCTTGTTATTCCACAAAATGAGCAATAATATACGATACACCTGAATAATATTGCAGCCTTTCGATCTTCGTTCTCTACCAATAAGACTGAAAGACTCAATAGCATAAGATAAAACCGACATGCTCGAATGCAATTATTCATATTTATGTTTCCTTTGCCATTTTTTCCCCCTGTTTTCAGCTAATATTTGATTTATTTTCGTTGCGTCCACCGTCTCCATGTGCCCAAATGTCTTTCTCCAGCTACTTTGCGTTTCTTCCTTATCCAAAAACATTTGTTTTTGTCTTGGAATCTCCTTCTTTTGGTTTTTTTTATTTAGGGTTTCGTTAAGAAGGTTTGGCCTTATCCGTTTTGAGCATTCCTGCCCAACATCAGTTTGTTGATGATGCTTCTACGATAATTCGCGGTTGGCCCTCGGATACTCCTTCAATGCCTACAACCTGGTTCAGATCAAATGTGTTGCACGCTATCTACTGGTCACAAAAAAAAAATTTGAATTATGTGTGTTGGTTTGTAAATTCAACTGAAACTACTCTAAAAGATATACTGGCACAACAATAATACATCACGAGTTGAGCAATGTTGAAGAAATAATGTATACCATTTTGTTTTCAAATTTTTTATATTATGCATTCCCCTTGTAATCTTAATTATGAGTATTTGTTTATGTCAAAATGATATCCATTGTAATTTTTAATACAATAACACAAAAAGAGGATGGATCAGTACAAAAATCATTATATATACACTTTTTGTTTAAGATTTTAGGATTATGCATAGTAGAATGGCCACTCTCATTACAAAAAAAAAAAAAAAAAGAATGGCGCTTCTTGCGTGAAACATAATAAAAGAACGTACTTGAAAAAGATACCGAGTAAAAAAAAAATATATATAATTATTAAACCTTATTTTCATAACATTATTTTGGGTAAAATTTAATATTAGTGATATTAAACTGGACAAAATCTTGTTTGCAATGAAACATATTGTAAGTTGATATGTGGATAATCTATTGTCGTGAATCATGGAGAGAAAATTAGGGTGGATACAAAAGAATCTCATTAGGATCCAAGATTTCGATAATAAGACCAACCTTAATTAACTACTACGTGAACTTACTAAAATGTATGTTTACGGAGATGGGGCAAGGCAGTCAAAGTCTTTTTCTCTAATACGATGTTCAAATATTTTAATATTTACGGATTATTAAAAGCCTTTTTTATAATGGTGAAATAATATCAAAAGATACGAAGGGTTTACAGTAAATGAAACAGGAGAAGCAACAAAATAGGAAACCAGCAGCGACACTTGTCACTATTGTCCGTATGGGGTTACTACTGCTATTGCCAAGTTTCACTACTCACTATTGTCACGTGGGTCCTAAAACTACCGAATATTCGTCATCTTCAACAACAATAGTAGGATACAAATACAACAGCTCTGTAAGCTCATTGCGCGCATACACCATTCTTGTCCCGGGTTTTAATTTTATCAAATATTTTCATCTGTTACCCTTATTCATTAGCATCATAATAACACTGTCTACAAGTGTGTATTAATATGCTTTCTCTGTTCCCACAAATTTAAAAGAGATGTTATAAAAGCAGATCTTTTGAGTGTAAGTAAGACTAATCTTCCCGTAATTAGCTAGCATGCGTGTTATTTATTAGATAAATAGAGTCAGTGGCCGGCCGGCAGCTGCTGCAGTTTATTTCATGACTCGCCTCGACTGGTGTGGAGTCAGTGGAGCACTAAGCTAGCTAGCCAGCCAGCCTGAATGAATTATATATAAAACTAACACTTAAATGAATGAGTCCCTAGCTCGATCGATCAGCTCAACTCACTTGGCTCTTCTGGCTTAATTTGTTTCCCTTTTGAGCTGTCTCTAACTTTACTGAAAGCATATATAGCAGAGAGGGTGGTGGATCTATATATGAATATGATTAGATAATACCAAATCTGGGTGGCTGCAGGTGAAAGCCGACAAAGGAACTGTCGAGTAGTATCCACTAAAATCAATAGCCCAAGGGCATGCTATCTTGTTTCCTTCCTTTTGTTCGGTTCTTCGTCATATAAAAAACTATTATTATGATTATATGTATCTTTCAGCTGATCAGTAGTAGTTGGCTATTTGCAGACTTGCTGTCTAAATTATGCACGATCCAGCACCACATGCTCTATCTGCTCATTCATGGTTCCTAGGGCTAGGGCTATATACGATCCAGCACCACATGCCCTCTCAATCAAGCTATATATTTCTCTTCCTTATCCGACCTACTATCATGTTATTCCAGGCGCGCAGTAAGTAATCCAGAATCTGCAATGATGTCTAAGGTTAATTGACATATATAGAGTTCGTCCCTTGGAACAACGAGAAATGTCCAAACCTAGAAAATCGCAAAGGAGCCAGATCCTTAATTTTGAAAGTAACATCAAGTTTCATGTCATCAATATCATTGCCAGTAAGGATAACATCAACTACATAAACTAACAAAAAGTTATTGTCCGTACCGTATGTTTTGTGAAGAGAGTATGATCAGCTTGTGTGATGGATGGAAATCATTTTATAACAAAAACTCGTCCACGTCCAATTTTGAATTCCACGGAGGGTGGGTCTGCTTAAACCCATATAATGACTTAATTAGTTAATCTACAAATAGGCTTAGTATATAAGATGTTATGAGACCTTGTGAGATTTTTATATATACTTCCTCAACTAAATCACCATGTAAAAACACATCATTGACATCTGATTGCTCTATAGAGCAGCGGTTTGTCGAAACTAAAGCTAGAAGTGAACGTATAGTAGTAATTTTTGAACTGGAGAAATGGTTTTTAGATAGTCTATGCCTTTAGCTTGAGTATACGCTTTAGCAACAAGTCTAGCCTTAAAACCATTTTACTCTACCATCAGTTTTGTATTTAATCCTATAAAATCATTTATACCCTATGGCCTTTTTAGAACAAGGGAGAGAGATTACCTTCCAAGTGTTGGTTGCAGCCAAAGTATCCAACTCTATCTCTATAGACTCAACCCACCATGGGTCTCGAATTGCTTCTTCGTAACAAGTTGTGGTTCTACTTCTTTAGTAACATTCATCGCAAAACTTTTATATGAAAGAGCTAAGTTACACTTGGCTATTCAAAAAACAAACAAAATTACATTTGTAGTCTTATACAATAATATCTTTAAAAAGTTTTATGTTTACCGCGGTGTAGCATGCAGACAAAACTCTGCGGACGAGCTTTGACACCTTTGCATCCCTAATGGGTCAGAAAAACTAAACCTTCTTTGTGCTTAGCAACTCCACGACGCATATCTTTTGCACCTCTTTCCAAGGCGGAGCCATCAATGAAGTCATCATCGGTGATTGCGTTATTAATCAGATCCAAGATTGATGTCTTATAGTTTTAGCTAGCTAGTGATCAATACCATGTAGTGACCTTAATTTAACAATTTTGATATTTTTTTATAATGGTGATTTAATGACATTAAAAAGAAGAGTAAAGATTATAGGGCTCAAACGGGACCATCGGCGAAGATCGCAATATATGATCTCGAGCAAAATAAAAACAAATAGAGAAAAACAAAAACAAAGCAAAATAGAGACAGAACAGCCCGCACACGTAGAGCTGGGAAGAGAAGTACGAAACAAATAAAAGACACACGTAAGTCAGAACAGACTGACCCTGCATTAAACATGGAAAAACTGCTGACACCTCCCAAGCAACCAAAGAGAAGCAAAGTGTTACGCAAAGCAGCCAAGCCCCGAACCAGTAAAGAGCAACAAAACATAAGCGGGAAATGCTTTTCCTGTCGAAGGTGCTGTCAGGTCCGGGACCAAAGATCACAGTTGTTGCACAAATATCCCCAGTCACGCAGAAGCTAGATTCCTCTCCACCTTGCCGTTGTTAGCCACCATCCACCTTGAAGAAAATGACTTGGCAATTCTCCTCACAATTCTTTCTGGAGTGAGAAAACAGTCATTAAAGGCCCTATGGTTGCGTTCCAGCTAGATAAACCAAGATGTTACATGCAAAAAACAATAGGCAAACCAGCCATCACAATTGTTAGGCGGTGATCGAGGCCATTCCTGTACAACAAAGGAGATGCCGATCCTCGCGAAGATGTGAGGCATTTTGTTGCTTCTACACCTAATTCAAATCAGGTCCCAAACTTTGGAAGTGAAGCTACAGTTGACGAAGAGGTGATTAGCGTTTTCTTCCTCCTTCTGGCACAACACACACCTGTTTGCCATCTGCCACCCATGACTCCGAAGCTTGTCCATGGTGAGTACTTTCTTGAGCGTGAGAATCCACATGAAGAAATTGATTTCCGGAGGGACAAGTTTCCTCCACACAGACGCGTAAGGGAAGTTCTGCACACCCGAGAATTTGTCTTTGATCAGTGACCTGTACAAGGAAGCTACAAAGAACCCAACCTCGGGGTCTAGGGACCAAACGACTCTACAAGGACTATTAGAACCAGCGTGGAAATTGAATGAATTAAGAAGGTTAATAAGGTTCAATCTCTCCCTCTCGGCTCCCCCTGTCAAGTTATGATTAATGTCAACAACCAAAGAAACAACATCACATGTGGTATTGACGATGTCGCAGAGCCTAGCTTCCGGTCTTGAGGCGATGATGGCGACACGAGGGCATTGTTAGGATCTTACAATTTATCTGTTAGTAATTGAAGGGTGAATTGTTGATTAGTGTTTTGTACTTGAGAGAGAGAACATTTTATTAGCGTTTTGTACTAATAAAAAAAATGTGCACCTAAGAATATTTACTATTATCTCCACATTTTTTAGCAAGGAATATTAATTTTAGCAAACAAATATATGGCATAACCATTTAATAGGTGAATTCTTATTATTCAACATCAACACGAACCAAAACACACAAAAGCAACACAAAATGTCAATGACAAACACATAAACATAAAAAAGGAAAAAAACAACCAACAGTAGATAGTCTTGGCGTAAAAGTCACCTAAAAAAAAAAAAAGGCTAGTAATGCTCAAACAAGACTCTCTTAGCTAGAATTATGGTACTTCAAAAATCATCAAGAGAAAGCCCGGTGCCCTCTAATTTGAGTCGTGTCAGCTGGTCAATGCGTTGAGCCATATCCGGCGTTAAGTTGTTCTTCCAGTCCCCAACAGTTCCTTTCCTGAAGAAGGTGTTTTTGGGCACGTTTGGTAGCTCCCAGATGCCATTCTTGTTAACCTCCAGATTCTGGAGCCTGCCGATGCTGCTCCTCCACAACACCTTCTCCAGCTCAGCATCTCCTTGATCTTCATCTTGGCTAAATGGCTTCCCGAGAAACGAAGCCAGCTTCCTAACTTGCCCTTTGGGGTCTCTGCAAAGTTCCTCGTACTTGAGAAACAACACCTCCTCGGGCCGCTTCTTGCTCTCTTCCCAATATTCCACCACGTGCTCGTAAAACGGCCCGTAAGGCACGACCCCGTTGCAGAAGCTCTCCACTAGTCTTTCCAGCGGGAATCGGTCATTGGGAGATGCGTCGCTCTTGAAGAGTACGTGGTAGAAATGCCACATCGAGACCAGAGTGTCCTTTGGGTTCCGGGCCACGTGTACAATTTTGCACCCGGAGTTCTTCACGGCCTCCGGCAAGCAATTGTAAGGCACATGGGTGTGGAACACACGATTGGTGCGACCCGATTCAAGCAACATTTCTTGGATCTGGTCGGCGAGGAAGAGGGCATCGAGGGTGGGGACCAGCTCGTGCGGGTTCATCTTCGTGAGGGCGTCTTCCTTTTCGTCAACGCCGGGATGGAGGATGTTGTGGCAGAGAGCCATGAGCCATGTTGCTCCTGTTTTGGGGATGGATGTCAAGAGGATGTCGTCGCTTCTCGGCTGGAATCCGGACTTGAATGCAGCTATGGGTTTCATATACGACTCTATGTACCAGAACCCTTCCATCTGCTGCATCTCGATATCATGCCAAAACACCTCCTTTTCCTTTGGTGCAACTACTACTGTATCCTTCATCTCCCGACTACCCATATTGCCGGCAACAAATTAATTAAACTAGCTAGCTCGCGAGACAAGTGATTGTGATCTTCTTCGTGGTGCACTTCTTGGGGATTTATATATACTAGATAATTGGCCCGCGCGTTGCGGCGGTGATCAGTTAATACTTTCTTTTGATGATAAAATTTTATTCACTTATTTAATAATTTAGTGAAATAAAAATATTCACAAAATCTTTTGCGCGAGACACTTTTATAAGTTTTATTTAAAGCTATAATTATTGGAAAGGCTTAATTATTTAGGTAATTATAACTTAATTATCAACACCTTGCATAATTAATGCCCTCGATTCCAAATATTGATATGGTCTTTTATAATGCTTCTAAATTTATTAATTTGAACTATTAATTGGAAGAACAATGAATATAAGTAAATGTAAAGTCTTTTGATATCTAACATTGTATGGGTATTAACTGGACTAATTTTTACACTGTTTTTGAATCGTATCGTATCGATGCTTTGAACAGAGAAAACTTCATATCAAAGCCTAAATAAGTAGATGATTTTATTGGTATGACATTGATTAAGTCATGATTTAGTACAACATATCCTATCACTCACTTTTCCAGTACAACCTCCTACATTGTTTCACGGTTTTAATCTTTTACATTCATGAATTGTTGTACATACTATTATTTCTTATCAATGCCTATAAATACAAAATTTAAATAACCCAAGAAAATAACTAAAATTAAATGAATCTATTAGAATGTATAAAGTATATATGGTGTTGGACTCAACCAATCGAATGAGGATGAGAACCTCAAATTAAGAGTGGAGAAAAACTTACCAAGGAAAAGGAAAGGTTAGAAAAGTTTACTATAATGATATTGATGAGATGAAGTCATATACGCGTCAGCAAGTGGCATTGTTTCAATTTGAAGTAAACACCTGTCACTCATGCAAATATGGATAATAAAAAGGAAAAATGATAGAAATCAATAATTTGGCTAGCTTATCATCACAAAGCTCCGATAAAGGCACAAAAAAAAAAAAAAAAAAACCCCACAAAGCTAGAACCTCAATGGCAGAGATCCTAGTTCCCAATCCATGAAATTGTCGAGCAGGAGACCTTGCGGAGCTTTTGGTTAGCTAGAGAAGTAGCAGAATTGAAATTTGGATTGGGTTGCGATTTCCTTGAAGTCTTGATCAAGGCATGCAATCAAGGTGAGTGGTGGAATGGGTACTAAAGGATTGAAGGAAATTGGATGGCAGAGAACTATTGTAGGGAGGAAAATCAGTAAATCGGCTCATCGTCACGGTTTCCTTTGTTAGCTCTCTGGAATTGTGTCATATGATTCAAATCGACGGCAGTCCCGGTTCTTCCCTTGTGTTATTTTCCATGAATAGGCGGAGTTTTTGTCCGCTCTCGGTGGGCTTTGATTAACGATTCAGCACCTCACTGTCACCTCCAAGCTATGTTCGATAAGATATCCAGCGTCTCGATTTTTATTTCAGGGTTTGTTTCATTAATGGCAGTATCGGTGCCGTGGATGCTTGTCGATTTGGATTGTTTGTCCGCCGACTGCAAATCGATCCCTCGACCGAGGGTTTTAGGAAGGGTAAGAAGGGGTCTGAGACTTGGGTAGCTGCCGGGTAATCATCGTCGGAGAGTTTCTGAAAAGGGGGGGGGGGGGGGTGGGAAATCATCTACTTGATAGTTCCATCGGGAAGGAAAACAACTTGCGTAGCCGCCAGGCAGTCTACGCGGGGAGGCCAAAGGAAGAAACGATGGGAAAAAGGGTAACGGTGGGAAAAAAAGGGTCACAGGAGGCTTACGGTACACCCGACCACAACCTACTGAACCCCTTAAGTATGCTTGCCGATTAATTATACTAATAATAATATTAAGCAGTGAAGGACAGGTTGTTCATATTTGATCCGATCTCATCTCTCGCACATGTGTTTTTCCTGTCGCGATGTATTATTGTTTTGGCGTACGTGCCATCGATCCCATCGGATTCGGTATAGCTAATACCTTTGTCTTTCTGTTCTTGGATTCTTATGAATGTCGTCAAGTTGTAATATTCATTCCAATTTTTTAATCTTACATTTGTTCCCTTTAATTTGGTGTACTTTAAAATAAATAAATTTATTTATTTTTATGAGTGTAGTCCAGTTGTACTAATCTTTCCAATTGTTTAAAGTTGTCATTTGTGGACTAAAATCTATATTTTCAAATTTACGGTATTCAGTTTGAAATATTTCAGTAATAATTTTTTTTTGTTTACAACTTCATTCAAGTTGGCGAACGAGTACATGATTAATTATTACTCTCAGCTTTCAGAGAAAAATGCAGCTGATGTTGGCAACTCTTTTTTGAATGTATTCTCCAACCCCTAGAGACATTTCGAACATATTAATTCGAGTGTGCTCATGAAAAATGTGCACATGGAACGCCAGATTTTATGGAATTGCACCGTTTTTCGATTACGGATTTAAAGTTGGAGAAATGAGATAATGGAAGAGAAGGAGGAAAAATAATAACGACTAAGTTTGAGTTTTATCCATAGTTATCTATGTACAAATTTCGAGTATAGTAAATCCAAATCATATTCATATTCGTTCAGATTTAAGTTATTTACGGATATCTATTAATAGTGGTGGAGTCAGAAATTCGAATGGGGGCTACAAATTTAAGCAAAGAGAATTCGAATTGGTGAAGGGGCGGGTACTAACGACTTATCAACTACTATATTTTGTCAATTTATTACAAAATTTATATGATTTTGAAAGTTTGGGGACTATAACCTCCCGTGCCATTAACGTAGCTCTGCCACTCTCTACTGTTAAATGTTTTCCTTTCTCGTTTCACCTATTACAAGTAAAAAAATTACAATCATAAGTCACCAATTTTAACAATAATAAAAATGAAAAAATAACTCACTGGGACATATATATGTATTAAGAATGACGAATACTTTGAGGGAGAATAAAGATTTGTAGCAAAATATTCATGTACATCTATAATCGGTCGTGTTTGGGTTGCATAATAAAAAAAATCATATACTCCTATTATCCAAAATATTAAAGATCATGTTTTATCCATATCATCAGATAATTGATTTAGTTCAACTTTTGCCTTATTTACTCGGATCGGGTTCCGATTAAGCATATTGATGCATACTTCTGTCACCCCTTGGACGAGGAGAGAGTATTATGGGGGATCCTTCATTATTATCCCCATTATTAAAGATTTTGTTAAATTTATTCTATCATCAACAATGGTGAGAAACTACTACGAAAATTCATACTTTGCCAATTTGCCTGATTGTTATCATCAACAAATTAAGGGTTTGAACTCATGTCATATGTGGTTGCCCTATCGATTCATACTTTGCTTGATTGTTATCATCAATATTAAATTATTAATTGATCTCACGAATTTCCTCTACCATTTTGACAGAAAGGGAGGATAGTATTTTGGTACTCAAAACATACAATAACATAGTACTAAATTATTCATATTGGAGATACAACAACAATCTACGATAAAATCCTTGCTATTTTTCTTTCTAGCTCCCACGTCAAATTTACACAACCCTTTGCGGCTGGACTGAATTGAGAAGAGGAAGTCTGGCAGGCCTGCTATTGTGTTTCAACAAAATGAGGTGCATTGGATCTTGAGAACCAAGTTGAAACAACTCTTTTGTCATGTAAGCACAAGTAGCAAGACTGCACAGAGAGAGGGGATTATTATAAGCTTTAAATGACTGAAATAACACTCGTCATAATACAACAACATAAAAAATATGAATTTCATTATGAAGCCCGAAACAATACCCTTTTTTTCTTTTCAAAATATGAAAAATTTACCTGCCAAAACATACAAATAGAAGTATCCACAAGGAAGCACTCAACCAGCTTGTTTCCTTATACACAGCCCACACCTATTTGGGGATAGATTCAAAATATGAGAAACCTAATTCAAGAAAGAAAGAAAGACAAAAAGAAAGAAAATATACTAGAAAGAGCCCAGCCTGGACAAGAAAGATTAATCATGTCACAATAAGTATGATTTGGTGTGAAAGGTGCTTAAGAGTCTATGAAGGCAAAGCCAAGTCCAGTGGAGAGGTAGTACGATTCGTTAGAAGGCTGATTGAGCTAGCAAGGGTTGGTAATCTTAATCTAAATTCCGACTGTAGCAGTGTAGTTTTGTAATCAATATAGGCTTGTATAGACAGTAGGAAAAAGTAACAGGAGGGAGTACACTTTCAGTAGAACTGCAAATTGCAGATTGTAATGAATAGATTCTTCTTCTCCAAGTTGGGGGGAGGGGGAATTGCATTGTGCTTAATAATTTTTTTTGTATTGCCCATAAAAATAATTTATTTCAGACTTACCAAAAGAGCCACAATGTGTACATAGAAGTCGACCACTGTTGTCATCTGCCACCTACAAATATATATGTATGTATAGTAGTAGATCAAACATCGCATTCATTCATCCATGATGATGATGATGATGATGATTTTTTGGTGATGATGATGATGTGACTACTTCGGTGCACTAAAAAAATGAGTGCGTTCAATGCACCCAACTCAAAAACTAGTCTTAAGGTGTTGGATTTTGAATTTTAATTTGTAGAATTAGTGTAATATGATGATATAACATATGATAACAACTAATTAGCGGATTACCCTAAACTCTAGACCTCCAATTTTGAGTTCTATCTCTAAATCCCAAATTATAAACCCTAAATCTCTAAACTCTAAATCCTTCAAATTAAAGTAAATCTTTAATGGTTTTTGTGCAAATTCATGTGTGTTATTGTTTATCACATCATAAGTAAAGATTGACATCATTTTGACATAAATAGCATGTTTAAAATAACGGTTATGAAGCGAGTGCACTGAATGCACCAAAAAAAGTGAGTGCACCGAAGACGCCACAATAATAATAATAATAATAATATCAAAACTCATACATTTTTACTAAACTTAGCTTTGCTATAGCTAAGGAAGTGGGGACCAGATTAATTTTTTCTAGACCTTTGCTTATCCCAATTCGCAAAACTCAGATCGATCAGCAGTTATATATTATGTATATCAATTGCTAATTCTTGGGGGGAAAAAATACAGTACTATATCAGAGGTACAAGATTGACTTACGGTGCCAGGAGGACCTCTCTACGGAAAGGAGAACCATCCGTCATAACAGCGTAAACAACTGATGCGATCAGCAAACAACCTAAAATGGGGTAAGCAATTCTTGTTGCAGCAACCACTAGACATCTCTTCCCGGCCTTCTGTTCCTCGTAGCTCCTAAAGTTAAGTAATGTGAAGGGGATCTCAATTCTCATGCATTACTCTTGGATGGATATCGTTACTAATTATTATTAATATATTACTAATTAATTAATATATAAAAATCTAACATGGGAGTTACTGTTCATCAGTGGATATCACACTCCTCCAAGTGCAAGTGGGGAAGTTCCAAACCCTTCTCTTATCTCACTCTGCATTCTACAACCTTGTGTTTAATTTAGTTATTGTTTGCTAGGTTTTCGTCTATACTTTTTGCACAAATCATAGCATTTATATTTTGTTATTGTTCGCTAGGTTTTCGTCTATTACTTTTTGCACAAATCATCGTCTTTGCCCACCATTTCGCAGCTCATCTCGAAATACTGTCGGAAAAATCCTAAGTGTTCCCCACCACCGTTTCCCAAGGATGCTACCACGAGTTTTGTATCGGGACCGAGTTTCATCATCTTTAGTGTTTTTTTCTTTTTTTCCTTTTTGTTGAGCATGCTCACAATTGAACCCAAACACATGAGTATCCTAACTTGAATACAAATCATCGCATTTGCCCACCATTCTGTAGCTCATCTCGAACTATTGTAGGCGGAATCCTAAGTTTTTCCCCACCATCATTTTCCAAGGCCACTACCACGAGTTTTGTATCGGGACCGAGTTCATCCTCTTTAGTGTTTTTTTCTTTATCTTTTTCCTTTTTGTTGAACATGATCACAATTGAACCCAATGCCGCTACCGAAAATCCATACCATATCTACTCAATGTTGGCGAGTTTTGTATCGGGATCGAGTTTTGTTCGCTTTAGTGCTTTTTTTCTTTCACATTTTCCTTTTTGTTGGGTCATGAGCAAGTTTTATTCGCTTTAGTATTTTTTTAACCTTTTCCTTTTGGTTGAGAATGACAATTGAGTCCAAACGCATGGGTATACAATCTAATTCGACCAGACCAAAGCGATTTGAACCCGATTTTACAAGTTTTTGGCGGAGAGTGAGTTTTATCTGTTTTTGTAATTGGCGTGTTGTGTCAGATGTGAATTTGTCCAAAACTCGGTCCAACCAGGTTAAAGCGAGTTGAACCTATTGTTGACGAGTTTTGAGTCAGTAGCTAGGGGTGTACGTGGGTCGGTTTTGTGTCAATTTTCCTATCTGACCCATATATGTCGGTTTCAAAAACTGAATGGCTAAACGTCGCCCTATCTTTACTACCCGCTATATTTAAAGGACTAATTAATTGACCTTTGATGTTCTCGGGTTCGGGTGACGGAGACCCAAATCTGCACCCAGCCCATGTATGATTGGGTTCCAACTTCAGCACCCATATCCGCCCATACAGTTTAGTTTTGATCCAGTTTCGGGTTGGATCGGGTTGGGTGGTGGGTCACTTTGTTCACCGACAGTAGCGAGTTTTAGCTTAATTTAGTATTTTTTATTTTGCTTTTTCCTTTTGTTTGAGAAATATAATTGAACCCAAATTCATGGGTATCCAACCTAATTTGAAAAGATTTAGATAAGTTTCATTCTGCAAAAGTTATAGCATGATCAACTACTAGCCATACAATTAAATTGAAACATTGGCGTCATGAAAAAAGTTTAAACATAAATAATTTATTCGACAACCCTTCAACCTTATGCAAGTTCATCAACCATATTCTACTGTAAATAAAAAACCTATAAAAAGAATGATTAAGAACGAAATAAGATTACTTTCACTTTTTGGTCAACATTAAAACTATTACTCTTTAAAATTATTTTTCTGATAACGATAGCGAGTGGGCTTTTGCTAGATAGGAATAATTATTAATGTTCAAATAGGCTGCTTTTGAAGCTTCCGACAAGTTAGCCCTGTACTTTGAACCTTAACTTACATATCCTTAAAGACGAGGCATGCGCGTTGCTTCATCGACGACGACGAGGGTAGTGTGGCAGAGGATGATATTGATGGGGGAGAAATGTGAGCTCTCGTAGTTCAGTGGACTCATCTTATACGATGAGAGAGGACGACTAGGGATGAAAATTTTGACTTGATTCGTTTTACCCGACTTGTTTGGTTTGTTTTGGGTTGGTCCGACCCGTCCCATACCATACGTAAGCGCGTCGGGACGGGCACGGGTACTCTCGTTTTAATTAAATGAAGGTCAGAGTTGAGAGCAAAATATGTTACTTGTGTTCATGCCGCAATAACACATGGTAGATAGGGTCTTCGGCAGATTCTTGAGGTGACAACTTGAGAAACTGAACGAAGATATAGGCGCAAGTCCCCAGGCTGCACATAGACATTACATAGTAAAAACCCAAAGGGAAACAACATAAGGACCTCAAAGATATCATGGTTCAAAATCTCAGGATTTTATTAAGTTAACTCCATCCTTCCATTTACATAAACTCGCGATTTTGATCTTATTATACTTAGTTTTGCTCTGGATTTTTTCTCATTCGTTTTCCTATTTGTTAGTCGCTTCATTTTTACTACATGAGGAAAAAGTAATATCGAAAGCACAGCGGCTAGCTAGCTAGCAAACGTTCATTATATTTACCTGCCAGTCCAGAACATAAAAAATATCCAAATTCCTGAATACACGTAGCTGGACTCCTTGTACACCGTCCAAAGCTGAAACGAGAGTGCATGTTCTTATTAAATAAACTGAACTTTTTTGTCGCTGGAAAAAGATAAAAACAGAAGTAAGAGATACGACTTATCGGTAGCGAAATGTCATGATTTTCCGGTTATATAGGCTAGCTAGCTAGCTAGGTCGTGTTGCTTCAAACCAAGTGGTTAATTAGATAGATACGCTTAGAAGTTAAGCTTGTTTATTTTGTTTAGTTGTATAAATAGGTCAAAGCTAGTTTACTGTCGGATTAACGAATCATGTTCTTCTTTGCAGAGAGCTGGCAACAAAAAAGAAGAAGAAGAAGAAGAAGAAGAAGAAAGCTAACTGATTAATCATACCGCAAAGGTGAAACAGTTGATCTCTAACTCAGCTACTGCGGCGCGCAACCATCTGGGTAATGCAAAAACCAACAGGATCGGAAAAACTTGAGTACGTACTGAAGAAACAAACTGATCAAGGAGCTCGAACAAAGGCGGCGGGCGGGGCGACTTACGGCTTGTAGATCTCCAACAGTACGGGGTTGCCGCCGGTGTAGAGAGTCCAGATCAAAATGACGCCGAACGAGGAGGCAAGTGCCGAGAAGAGAGCTGTCAAACGTGTCGCCAAGAGAGCCATTGTACATACGTACTAGTTCCGCCGGTGTATAGATGTGGCTCGGGCCGAGTCGGAAGAGGAGGAGATCGCTGGATCTAGGATTTGGTGCCGCCATTAGAGTGTGAGGTAGAAGAAAAGCTTTTTAATGGTGGTGAGAAACGGGAAAGAGCCCAAATTTGGTGGCAATAGAAAAATATTTTAACGAAAAAGTTGCCCGGTATATTTCTATTTTCTGCTATTAGCCTATAATCGAACCGGGGGGCGTTACATAGAAGAAATTTGTCGCCAAGCATTTGAAAAAGAAAAAAAAATGATGGTATATGTTATTCTCCAAATACAATAAATTTGTTATTTGATAAAATATTAGACGGAGCATTAGTATTTTCCAAATAACAAGATATTGTCTTGTTTGTTTCAATTATATCATTAATTTTTTTTTAAATCCCAATCTGATTTTCTCCTTTTTATTTTCACTTTTGTCTCTTCTTTCCCATTATCTTCCTAACCATGAATTATTTGGTTGACCCGAGGTGGCAAATGGATTGGATCTATGGATTGGATCCAAAGGATTGGTGGATTCATGAATTGGACCAATATGTAAAATGTGAAAAGTTTAGGTACTAAAATGTCGTAATGAAAAATTTTAGGTACCAAAACGTAATTTTTCAATAAGATTTTTCGTATAAAAAATTTAATTTCAGGTACCAAAATGTAAAATATAAAAATTATAGGTACCAAACCATAATTTGCCATTTGGATCCATGGATTGATCCATGAATCCAAAAATCCAAATGGATTGGATTAGGTGGATATTTTTAATGGATTTGTGGATTGGATAGAAAATTGCCACCTCTAGTTGCCGCTATTTTACCTTTATGTTTTTAATACTTTATTGAAATTTAAACACACTATTACATTACAATGACGTATAAGACTCCGTACCGTTACATATATATATTGACCAAGCATGCATACAAGCTAACCAAGCGAGCAAGAAACGGGAGGAAAGAAGGACAAATTGATAAAATAAAAAATTTAATTAACGGTGTCGTGAACTTCTTTTCCCGGAGAAGAAGCAATGACGGTATCTGGGCATCGGCTAACTCTGTGCCAGCAGCCGCGGTAATACAGAGGATGCAAGCGTTATCCGGAATGATTGGGCGTAAAGCGTCTGTAGGTGGCTTTTTAAGTCCGTCGTCAAATCCCAGGGCTCAACCCTGGACAGGCGGTGGAAACTGCCAAGCTGGAGTACGGTAGGGGCAGAGGGAATTTCTGGTGGAGCGGTGAAATGCGTAGAGATCGGATTTCCGGTGGAACGGTGAGTAACGCGTAAGAACCTGCCCTTGGAAGGGGAACAACAGTTGGAAACGGCTGCTAATACCCCGTAGGCTGAGGAGCAAAAGGAGGAATCCGCCCGAGATTGTACATCAACAATAACGCTACTTACAATCCATTAAAACGTAATATTGAGTACAAATAACATACACATAGAAAATAACAAATATCATGGTATACAAATTTACCAATAGCAAATATCATGGTATACAAATTTATGGGACAGGTTACGGTGATTACTAAGGATAAATTGGGTATGGAAAAATAAATTGTATTAATTATTTTTTTAATAAATTTTATTTTAGGTGGTTACAAAAATCTATTAATTACAATTCTGTATCTTTCTCTCACTTCCGTAATCTCCAGTCAGATCCTCTTTCCTTATTTTCTCAATATTTCTGCAAAAGAAAAAAACACGAAATCACTACCAATCCATTAGACAACCACTACCACTTTGAAAAACATGAATACCATTACACGAAAACTACCAATATCAACAATCTACCAATATAAATCTATACCATTTCACAAATAATCAACATCATTGCAGATTTGATCAATACCAGTACATGCATATTACTACCATTACATGATAATCAATACCAATGCGACAAAAATAATACCAATGCAACAAAAAATATCATTAAGGCGAGAGGGTCGGAGATAAAAGGATGGCCAGCGTCGCCGATTGCTTTGACGGCCTCCACGGTCAAGGTCGCTTGTCCATCGACACATTGCTACTGGGGAGGGGAGAGGCGATGGGGAGGAAGGAGGGAGGGGTAGAGGAGGAATAAAGGGTGGGACGGCGGGGGGAGAGTGTGGGGTGGGGTGGGGAGATGCGGCCGGTGAGTTGAGTTTGGCTGGGAATAAAGAGAGGGTAGAATTAGGGTTTGTGTATATATATAATAATTTAGTGTGGTTTCTTTTTTATTTCCAAAATTATCCTCCAGCAATCATAATCGTGAGATTAAAAAAATAGGAAAAAGAAGAAAATGGACGGTGGATATTGATGTAGCCAAGGTGGCTACTAGAATTTTAGTAACCACCCTAACGCGTTCCACAAATTTACCAATACCACATCCAGTCTACCATTATGAGGGTAGAGTAAGAGAAACAGATCCTCCTTCTTTTTTACCAATTTTCACTGTTGGATCTAATTCCATTTTAAGTAAATATTTATGAAGGAAATGGATGCCACATGCGGTACTGTTCCAATGGCGCTTCTAGACCCGACCAAATAGGGTTGTTGCCCTTTTCGCTGCACATGTAGCCACCCAGCCAGCTTCAGCTTCCTTTCCTCTTTTTTTTTTTTTTTACGAAAAGGCAGCTTATATTGCAAATCGAATGTAGCGGTTACAGAGGAAGAAGAATACAAGAAGGGATAGACACCCCAGAACCCAAACACAAAAGGCATACCCTGCAAAAGAAGAAAAACATCAACAGAACAAAAAGCAGAGCCACGCCTCAAAAGGAGGGGGAGCCAAAGCATCATCCAAACAAAGCATTCAAACTTTCTCTCGTAGCCGCCACAGTCGAAGAAGCATAAACGAGACAACTAAGTTCGGTATTATCTATAGTACATAGACGAGACAACTAAAAATGGAAGGAAATTCTAACAGCTCAGACACCCAAATTCAAAATCAATCTGGTGGAGGGAGAAAAGCTTCAACAGTCCACTTGATTTCTCCACAGCGTTTTGGACTCTGCGCACCGTTTCGACTCAACGTCTCCAACCCACTAAATGAAGTCGTTTCCTCCTGTTTGCTTTCTTTTCTGCCAACTTTGTACTTGTTTCTACTTCAAGCTAAAGAACAGAACTGCAGCAATGAGCCACTGTGTCTTGTAGTGGAGATTGCTCTGTATTTAAACCAAGAGATGAAATTAGAAGCTTAAGCCTCTAGGGTTTCACTTCAAACCTAAACAAATTGTTATGGTATCAGAGCCTTTAACCTAACTCTTGTGCCGCCGCCATGGATGCCACCAACAACCAACCAGACAACCCCTTTTATCTTCACGGTTCAGAGCAACCTGGTGTTCTCCTGGTTGCTGAGAAGCTCACCACCACCAACTATAATGACTAGAGCAGGGCCATGACAAATGCCACAACTGCAAAAAAAAACAAACTTGGCTTTGTCACTGGTACGTTACTGATGCCTGCTGACTCTGATCCCCTACAAGGAGCATGGAAGAGGAGCAACGTGATGATCCTCAGCTGGATCCAGCAAGTTGTTGATCCAGAGATTCGCAAAACCATTCTCTCCATCAAAACTGCCTCAGAGGCATGGATAAGTCTTCAGATCCGCTATGGTGCAGGAGACATCATCAGAGTTGTAGAGCTAGAAGAAGCACTTTCTAATCTCAAACAAGGTCAAGTTTGAATCAGATGGTTCTTTCGATCGTTTTAAATCCAGAGTTGTTGCTAAGAGTAATAATCAACAAGAGGGGGTTGACTACCAAGACACTTTTGCCCCAGTTGTTAAAATGACCATTGTCAGAACATTCCTGGCTATTGCAGCTCAAAGGAATTTGCATATTCACTAATTGGATGTGAATAATGCCTTCCTCCATGGAGATCTCCAAAAGGAAGTCATATGGAGATCTCCAGGTGGAACATTGAGCATCCCTGGAAATTCTCGAGTTTCTTTTGATACACATGACAAAAAATAATTAAAGGTAGTAGTAACTATCTACTATCTAAGGGCGGAGCCCGTGTAATAGGGTGGGCGCTAGGACTAGGGCTGGCAATTCGGTTGCCGGTTAGCGGTTAGCCGCCGGTTATAACCGAAAACCGACAGAAACCGACTAACCGAAACTGGCAAAAACCGACCTCGGTCGGTGTTCGGATGCCCATCAGAGGGCTCCGGCTAGCCGAATAACCGGGAATGATTAACCGCGGCTAACCGCCTAACTGACGCTCATCGAAAATCCCCTTCTCCCCATCCCAAAATTGCAGAAACCCTTCACCCCAAATAAAAAAACGTAATTCCAAATTTCCAATACCCTCCCCCATCCTCCCCGCGAGACCGCCTGCTCCCCCGCCGACGCTTCCATCAACGCGCGACCCTGCTCTCAACCAGCGACTCTGCCTGTTCTGCCGTCGTCGTTTCCTCATCGCGAGTCCGCAACACCGCTTGCTCCGCCGTCGCCGCTTCCTCCCGGCAACAGCGCCACTTTGCGGCGAATGTGGAATCGTCGATGTTCTGCTGCGGCGTGGTCCGGGAGGTGGCGTACTGGATGATTACCTGGAGCTGTGCTGGCGTGTAGGCGTACTCGGCGGCGGCTAGGGATGGCAATGGGGCGGGTTTGCCTAAACCATCCCCATCCCCATCTTTAAATACCTAAACCCATACCCATGCGGGGGAATGTTTTGCAAACCCATCCCCATACCCGTGGGTTTCGGGTACCCATGGGTAATACCCATCCCCGTACATCCAACATTATTATACCTAAAACTTACAAGAAAAGTTTTAATTATAACCATAAACAAACCTATTATATCATGAAGTCAACAAAACACGGTCATTTTCTAAATACGATTCAAAGAATATGATCCTAAAATATCCATTAATACATAATATAGACTACAATATTGTTTAAATTATTATGCTCTAACTCTTGATACATTTACTAAGTAATAATTAACTAACATAATCTTGTTGACAATGGGGAAAGTGAAAGAGTGGAAGGAGACTTGAGGGAAATGAATTAGGTTTTGTTTAAGGTGGTTACTCAATTGCATTTCTACTATTTATTTTCTCGAGTTATCATCATCATCATTGATAGATTACAATTTAATCCACATATTTTTTGATATGTGAAGAAATTCTCTTGGTGGGGCGGGTATGGGGCGGGGGAGGCTAAAACCATACCCGCCCCATACCCATCAAACTTTTTGTGGGTTTTACCCATACCCGCCCCATACCCGGTCAAAGCGGGGATTCCCCGCGTTGACTGGGTCGGGGGCGGTCGGGTACCCACGACCATGGGTTTGATTGCCATCCCTAGCTAGGGGTGGGCATGTGGGTGGTTAATCCGCGGATTGATATCGATCCACCAGCAAATAACCCGACCTGCACGTAGTGGGTGATTGATGTGGGTGGATTGCGGATTGGTAGATCTCTCACCCGCACTTATGTGGGTGGGTGTGTGGTGGGTGGATTGCGGGTCACATCCTATTTTTACATGAAAATGTTGTTTCTTATAGTATCGAATATTCATCATATTTTCGAACTGCACTACAGTCTAACCATATACTTCAAAAGGTGGAGAATAAATAATAGTTTTGACTACTATTATTGGTCATTTTGTTGTTGGATATCGGTATGCAAATTATTGTTAATAACCATTAAATAATGGGATGCAAATTATAATTTATTAATTGTATCAAAATCACAAATTATTGATATGGTCTTGCTAATTTGCTATGAACTTATTATAAATGTTAGTCAACTTTCTTAATGGCTAGATGGAGAATTGTTTTTGCGGGTTCACCCGCGACCCATCCGCACCCATCCGCCACCCACCCAACCCGCAGGAGTATGTGGGTGGATTGTGGGTCACAATTATTCAAAATCGCTAGTAAGAGGTTGAGTCAATTTGAGACCAAAACCCACCCAACCCGCCCGTTGCCCACCCCTATCCCTACCGGCGGCGGGTTTCTCTGGAAAGGAAGAAGAGAATCGAGAGAGAGTAGGGAGAGAGATAGGTTAGCGGCGGGTTTCTCTGGAAAGGAAGAAGAAGAATCGAGAAGTGAGAGGAGTTAGGAGTGAGTGGTGCAGAATTTTTTTTTTTTTTTTTGTAGAAAAGGTAGTTTTCCAGTTGGCCGGCTAACTGAGCCTAAAACCGAAACCGACCGGTCGGTTGTCCAGCTAACCGTGACACACCTCACAGTCGGTGGTCGACAGCTATAGGGGTGGCTCGGTTTAACCGATAACCGGGTTTTCAGTTTTCGGTGAAACCGAAACCGACCGACTGCCACCTCTACCTAGGACCCACATTAACATGGGAGCTTGCAATATATCTCTCGTATTTTGGTGTTGAAATATTGACAAATTAAAAAATAAGTACAGAACCAATGATTTTTCAAAATACAATCAATAAACCAAAGTGGTATATATTATTAGTATGTTGTTTAATAGATATAAGAGGTCTCAAGTTCCATTATTAAAAACGATGAAGAATTATTTTTATTAAACATATATTCTATATAATTATGTTAACGACTGTGGTACTCATGGAGTATACCATACTCCAAATGATTTGCCTATTGGATGTACTTCACAGTACTTCGATGAATCATAATTAATGATTATTATTTTTACTTAATTGATATGCTAGTTTGGGTTTAAAGAATCAGAATCTAAGATTTTTTTTATCATGATAATTAATATTGAAAGAAAATGAAAGAACAAACAAAACCAAGCACAAGCAACAATGACTAGAAAGACACAAACCAGTCTCATAGTCATAATTGCCTCTATCTAACCGTTGCGAATCACACATTAGCATTGGTAGTTTAGCATGTAAATTAATGTACACAAGTGGAATGTAATTAAGCACCATAACCAAGATTTAAAAATGTAGGTCGCAGTCGCACCGCCGATTGAGAGTGGTGGTGGCCTCGGGATAAGGTCGGTCAACAACAAGCGGCTACCGGTTAAACAAATCATCCCACAATAAGGAACATGTGCTAATGATCAAATTCGGACAGACAAACCAACCTCCACCCACCCAAATACTGATATACATACATATAATTAATTTCAGTGCTCCACTGCCTCCACAGTCCACACCAATGAGGATAGTCAACAAAAAGCATCTTCCAACCACTAAGTTTATTTAATAACATGCTAGTTATGGGGAATATATATTAGATGGGATCTCTGACACAATTTTGTTTTATATAACAGTAATAATCAAATTACCATAATTAATGACAATAAACAAACATTCCCCATTAAATATGATTGGGCAAAGGGATATGACAGCACTGCTGGTGCTATATAGCCAGCCAACATTATTCTTGTATTTCCAACTTTTTTGTTGTATATCTTGTACTGCAGGCGCACGGGCCACGGGGGTTTAGTTTAGCGATAATATTATTTATAGTGGCATTTCATAGTAAAAAATCACTCTTGTTGAATTGACATCGAAATCGAATGCTTTTACGAGATCTTTTCTTGTGGGAAGAGATAGCATAACACACTTCTAATGTTATTATGGTGGTAATAAATAAGGGTAAAAGGTTAAACTAATAATACAAATACCAAAAAAAAAATCCGGGCAAGACGAATCGGTCTTCATACGTTGGAGTGGTTGAGAAAATATTGTAATTTGTATATATCTTGGTTTAATCACTTTGCTAAAACCCTTAATACTTATCCCTAATCCGGTTAATTGGTTGATTTGAGGAAAATAATAAGCTGCCAACAATCCAAGGCAGCATGATTTTATTCGATCTTCTGCATCTATGTGTTGCTAGTTATTATAAATAAATTAATGCCCATGACCGTCAGCTAGAACAGCTGCACAGGCTAACAACACACCGACTGACTGCATACGTATAGTGGTTTATAAAGTCACGTAAAGCTCAATAGCTGACACCTTAGTATTTAATTACATTTGGGCGACAATTAGTCCCCACGGAAATATTATTAATTAATGTAATTCTGACAAATAACAACCCCCCACCATATTCTTATGAGGCTAATCATCAAACAGCAGCTGCCAGCCACTTGTTAGTTCATTTAATAACATGCTAATTATGGAAAAGATTAGATGGGATCACTTACACTTTCTAGATCTGGTTTTATATTTAAAAGGTTATTTTTCGCTAATTCTTTTTTAATTATTTGATGCTTTTTTTTTTTTTTTGAAAATTACTTCCGTAATTGTGTGTTATTTCTTCTTATACATTATGCCACCAAAAAGAAATGTCATGATTCACTCATATGATTTATGTTTTTCATTTTATGTATAGGTTGAATATGTTACATCAAAAGAAGATCATACCGGCCGGGTAAATAACATCGATCCTTGCCAAGTTAGGATTAGGCACTTCTGAAGACCATCTTATTCAGGGACGGCCATTATACTTATTTAGTCATGGGCAGTTTGACGGAGAAACATTTACTAATACAAATCCAAGCAAAATGTCAACAATAGTTGATTGATGATTATAACTTTGGCCATAAGAAAATGAGTTTGTTTTTCCATTGGTTGAATAACCAGCTTACATTTATATCTTAAGCCCATACAAAACTTTCAACAGAATGATTTAGTGGATTACAGAAATGAGAATTAAATGTTAGGGATACTTAACACATGATTGTATTACATTTAGCCAAAGGGCAAACATTCGTCGATCAAGAGCTTATTTTCTTAAGACTTAAAATATGTCTTAAATATGACTCATGATTATGCATTAAATAAACTAAACTAAAATAGAATCATAACACAAAATTTATCCGTCTAACGTTTCAAATGACTATGAAACGTTATTTTGAGTTCTTTTTTCCTCCCGTTTGAACAACGGACCAGCTTCATTGATAAGAGGAAAGATAACAAAGTTGCGAATGACTAATTGGAAAGGGTAAACAAACATTAACTAGGTAGAAAAAGCAAAGTCTAACCTCAAGTACAAATTAAAGCAAGAGTTGGTGATTATGATCCTCTCCAATGTTCATTTTTAATTATTAGATAACTGGCCACAAAGGCTTTTCAAATTGATCATACGCGACATGGTCCTCTCATATGGGAGTTGGAATAGCAAGTAAGGGTTTAGCCTTTTGCAAAGCTATCCCAAACTTCTCTTCCATATCCAATTTCTCTAGCTCCGTCCCATCTGGTAGTTTCCAGTCGAACCAATGAATTAATGAACCCAACATCATATGTAACATTCTTAATGCCAACGGCATTCCAGGACATATCCTTCTTCCTGCGCCAAATGTGACCAGCTCAAAATGGTTTCCCTTTGCATCAACATCCGAGCCTAAGAATCTTTCTGGCATGAACGAGGTTGGATCCTCCCATATTGCTGGATCCCGACCTATAGCCCATAAATTGAGTAGAACTCTTGCACCTTGGGGCACAGTGAAGCCGTTGATTTCCACATTTGTAGCTGCCTTGCGGGGAAGTAACAAAGGAAGTGCTGGGTGCAGCCTAAATGTCTCTTTCAGTATTGCTCGCAGATAAGGTAACCGGGGAATATCTGATTCCGCAAGATGATTACCCTTCCCAATCATTTCTTCCAGCTCATTCTTGGCTTTCACAAGCTTGTGTGGATTGCGGAGGAGTTCGGCCATCGCCCATTCTAGTGAACTTGCAGTGGTATCGGTTCCGGCTACAAATAGATCCTAATATGTACAAAACAAGATCGATGAGTACGAGAAAATAAAGGAAGAGTAGTTCTTACACGGAAAATTCTTAGCTCCAACCTTGGTTGGACGTAGAAACTCCAACCATCCAACATGTCAATTTGTTATTGGTGAACTCACCTTCTTCTTTTCTGAATATTAAATGTTCTTAATTTTACTAAATAAATAAAGAGTTAAAATACAAAAAAGAAAGATAAGCTCACTAATAAAAAACTGACATGTAGTGAAATTTCCTTTTGACACAATGAATTGCTTCCGGTTAATGAATGAATGTAGTAAAAAATTACTCACCAAAAACAGATGTTTGATGCCAGTTGGATTCATTTGAGCCTCGCGATTGTTGTCATCGCCAATGGTAAGAAGTGTGTCGAGCATGTCGTTAGTGGAGACATAGCTCTCCGACTTCATCTTCCGCAACCTTTCGCCGATGACCCATCCAAAGAGATCCAAAACCTTCCCTATGTGACCCTTGTTCCGCCTCTGTATCCCCTGCAAATCCAACTTCCCCAGAACGGGGAAGAAGTCTCCCAAATTGGGTCTCCCGGCCTCTTCCATGATCCCCCTCGCAACCTCCTTGAACTCCCTGGCGGTCTCCGACTTCTCCTCGTCCGCCAGGTCCATCGAGAGAACAGTGGCCGACAGAGCATTCAAACTGGCCCTGAACGCCACTCTCCCTACATCCACCGCCTCTCCCGGCCTTTCAGATGCATTTCGTCGAACACCTTCCAGCACCTCGATAATCTTCTCCCTGCGGAGGCCCTGGTTCAAATCCAGCTTCTGGGTCGCGAAGACGTACGAGTTGCACACTTTCCTGACGTTCCTCCACTTGGGCCCCACAGGAAGCAACGGCAGGGCGAACTTGTGGGTGTCGAGGACCTCCATGGCGAGGATCCCATGGCGGTCGGAGAGCACTTTGTCGTGATTTTGGAGAATCTCCTTGGCGAGAGCTGGGGAAGAAGCGACGATGGTGGTGACTTGGCCCAATTTGAGGCTCATCAACGGCCCGTGAACCTTGGCCAGATCGGCCAGTGATATGTGAGGCTTGAGGCCCAGATTGTGGAGGTTGCCGATTATTGGCAGCCGGGCGGGACCTGGCGGGAGTTTGCCCGCCGGAGTTTTTCTTGGCAGCAGGAATCGGAGGATGGTGAGGGTGAAGATGAGGCCGAGAAAGCAGCTTAGGAGGAGGAAGAAGAAATCCATTATTTTCTACGGCAGGATTTTTGTTACTTAGCTGGCGCTAGATATCTATCGAGATTGGGACTAAGTAAGTAGACTGTAGATATATTTAAAGCAACGTCGCCTATATTAATTTCCTGTTGTCTGTTGAGCTTTCTCTTCATGCATAGCAATAGCAGCCTGCCTCTTTTTAACAAAATATACTTGTTTTTTCACCGAATATTTCACAAAATTATTCTTTCCAGATAAATTTCACGTAGTCTATTAATAATTACGAATGACATATGTAGTGATAAATAATAAATAATTATATCTAAAGGTTTACATAGTGTTTAATTAATAATTATGGAAGACTTACATAATATTTTTGTTTCACTGATACATACAAAATGATTACATGTTCACAAGTTTTATGTAGTGTCTTAATTATTGAGTAACACCCATGTAATACCTTTGTTTACATAATAGCTATCTCTTTATAAAAGTTAGTTTATCTAGTGTCTATAAATTTGTGATTTATGTAATTGTTATAGAACGTCATTTCTGTAAATGTTATAGAATGTTGTTACATAAATCTTTTATAATGTGTTGTCTAATAATAAAATTAATTCATTAAATGTAACATTTGATAAAAATTTTATTTATGTAACTGTTATAGAACATCGTTACACAAATCTTTCCAAATGTGTGATCTAATAATAGCACCAAATTTTAGAAAGTAACATATGATTAAAATTGTTATGTAAACGTTAACTAACCTTATTGAACTTTTTCATAATGCAAATCGATGACATGTTAATTATTTTAGTTAACAATGATGGAATTTCAGTCAATAATTTAATATTGTTTCTTGTATTTAGCAATAAATTGTGAAAATAAAATAATTTCATTTAATAATTAAGTGACAATGAGCTAATGAAAAACAGTACCAATAAATTATTTTTAGTCAAATACAATGAACTTATGATAAAATTTTATGCAGAAGATAAGTACTCTATGTGAATAGTACCCGTTATAAAAAAAAAAAAAGTTAAATTGTTACTATGTTCTTAACAAACCATCCAATGTTGAGCATGGGCAAGATCAGCACGAGTTCCAGCAGATCGCCAAGGAAACTGCGAAAAGACTGCACCCCAAATCCCAATCAAACTTCAAATATGCCATGCAGAATTCGAAAGCAGCCATGTTCTACGTTGTGGACTTACGTTCAAGATTATGCTGTTCCGTTCTTTCCAAATCCTCCAACACAATGTATGTAGTAAAGTCTTGGTGCACCATTCCTACGAATGGTTGGTTTTTTTACCAAAATTTGCTTCCAATGAAACCACGAAATTTCTACATTTGCTCCCGTCTTGCGGGGAATCATAGCAGGGGACCAACTAGGTATAGTCTTGAGTTCTCTTGTAAGCTATAAGATACATAATTAAACTTTCTTCCAAAAATTTGAGTTAATGGAACTAATTTGTTTATTATAGGGCTAATACCACTAAGAAACTCGAACTATTAAAAATGTGTCATTTGTGTTCTAAAGTATCCGATATGACATTCGTGTCCTAAACTATTTTTCCGATAGAGTTGAATAGCGTTAACCGTTAGTTTTTAACAGAAAATCTAGTCAACGCTTATGTGGCATCTGGCGTGAAATTTTATTATTTATTTAATATAATTTTTCTTATTTTAATTTAATCTTAAATTTATAATAATCTGACGTGGCATCTATGTGGCATCTACGTGGTTGTTTGATTTTTGCCACATCAACAAAAGTCAACATCACTTTGACCACCGTCTGGTCAACCGTTAACTTTAACGGTCAACAAAATCGCCAGGACATAAATGACACACAACTATAATAGGTTGGGACACAAATGTCATATTCCATACTTTAGGACACAAATGACACATTCTTAATAGTTCGGATTTCCTAGTGGTATTAGCCCTTTATGATATGATATCATGATTTGTTCGTTATCGTGTTTGAATCTCCATGACCCCCAATGTTAACAGTTGATTAATGAATAAGTAGATAGGTAAGCTTGTATAAACTTAAAGCCCGTGAGTTGGCTTTCGCTTGAGAGGGTGCGTAAGGAAGTGATAAAACATTCATAACTAACATTTAAACTCAAACCAACGAATCTCAAATATTTATTAACCTCGGACGAAGGAAACTCAAATACATACTTTTACCTAAACCGAAACCCTCAAAATCATAGAATATTCCCCCCAATTTTGATTAAAGATGTATCAAAATCACTAGTTATCCTTCATGACCAATTTTTAATGAATATCTTCTGGAATTATGATTATTGATGATAATTGCCAAGTCTAATTTGTTTTCACGGCTTGAATCTTTATAAGATGTTCAATGCCTTCCTTGTTAATGTTTCTTGTTTTTTTTTATTTTTATAATGGTGATAGAATTGTATTAAAGGCAAAACCCAAAAAGTAGTACAAACAAGGGATGATGACGGTTCACAAGCAAAGAACCAGCGAAGAGAAACCAACAGATGTGCTAGATGGGCCGAACCATCCCTGCAGAAAGCAGAAGGCAAAAAGCAACCGTTGAAAAAACAAAGAGGCAAAACAAGACTCAAAACAAGACAACCAAACTGGAACAAAGAGACCAAATTAAAGACCCTCACCATGCAAGCCGAAGCAACCACCTGGCTCACACAATGCACAAGATCACAGCCTGATCTGCTGCATTGCATACAAAGGGTGCGCCAATGAATTACCAATTCACGTCTATCCACCAGCCTTTGCGCCAGATCCAATCAAAACACATTTCGAACAGCAATTAATGCACACAACATCCTTAGCCAGGAGGCTCTCTTGGCGGAAAATACGTACGCCTGTTACGCTCCTTCTAAACATTCCAAGCAACAGCATGAGGAATGTAGAACTGGAACCACCTGAGAATGTCACTCGATCGGTTGAGAAGCAGGCCCACCTGGCCTGCAGCCTTCTCCACACTTCCACAGTGAAGACACAATCAGTCAATAATTAAGTGATCTACGAAACTCCATTACCTCCCCCTGGAGGATCAATAAAATATAGACGAAATCCCACACATCATTATGAACCTTGGACACATTAATTAGCCCACACCGAGCTCGTCATATTCCGAGAGCAAAACCATCTCGACTCGTTGCTCGCAAACTTGAAACACATAAGTTTCCTCCACTAACTATCCCTTTCCACCGCAAACTTCCAAAACCATTTACCCAGCATCGTCTTATTAAAGCACTCAAAGTCCAAGATACCAAGCCTACCACGTCTCAAAGACACTTTGCACCCATCCGAGCTTACCAGATCCACTTTCCTAGTTTCGTTAGCACCACTCCATAAGAAATTGCACTGAATTTTCTCCATTCGATTAATCACAGCTTTAGGAGCCCGAAAAAGAGAACACAGGTAAACCGATTGGTATATTTCTTGTTAGTATACTAATTTGACTTATTCTATTATTTAGTTTCAGAAACTTTTGGTGAGTGATTGTGGCTTGAAGACTTAGACAATTAGTTGGATTTGTGATAAAGCTTTCATTTTTTTTTTTTTTGCTTGGTTATTATTAGACTTAAGCCATGTTTATTAGTTGAATATATGTTTTTTTTTATTTGTGAACAATTACTAGTTGAATATGGTAACTTAAAAGACGCATCCGATTTATGGATCAAAAGTTATCTAGTTTGGAGATCTCTTTCATTTTAAGTTTATGAAAATTTGAATTATATAATCATTTGGACTAACACTTCAATGTAGGCTGTAAACCCATCGAATACGAGTAACCTTCCATCGTTCGCAATCACCAACCTATAGGTACATGGTTGGGTTAGTCTAGGTCATTTTATTTTTCATCCACCATGCACATAGTGGGTGGTTTCAAACCCTTCTAATTTAATCCATATAAAACCACCAATGGCTCACCCCTAATTTGCATCAGTTGATCCATATGGCCACTAGTGAAGTTTTAAAACTATATATATGTGTGTTGGGAACATTGTTAGTGAAATATGGTATGGGTAAGTTACGTATAAAGTATATATATATATATATATATTACTTCGTTTTTAAATGTATTACATGCTTATTAGTAGTACGACAGTAGTTATAAAATATGTAAAATTAATTATTTAAAAAATAAATAGTACACGAGTCATCAAATAAACGGAGGAAAATGAAACGTTTTGACAATAATGTATATAGGAAAGTCTTAAACGGATAAAATATGTAAGGACATATATACGTATATTAACCAGAATATTTACTATTGATGCTGGGAATGAATAAGCAGAGCATTTGCTGCTGCTGGATCGTATATAATTTAGACTGCAAGCTAAGTCAGCAGGCACTACTCTGAAAGATGAAATAATAAAAGTATCTATGACAAGCAACAACTGAACAAAAGGAAGGAACCAAGATAGCATGCAAATTGCAATGGGCTATTGATTAAAGTATACACGATATGTATGTAGCACTGAAACTCTAAAATAAACGAGGATAGATAATCGAGTTAAGAGAAACAGCAGAGTTGTTGCTTTTGTCGAGCTTCACTACTGTTGGATCGAATTCCACTTTAAGGAAAAATATTATTTGATGCCACATGCGGTCGGTCGGTGTTTCAACTTTCAATGGCGCTTCAAGACAAGATAGGGTTGTTGCCCTTTCCCAACGCGCGGATCACGTTACTAAAAGTTTGGTATTTTCTACAAACAAGGGAATGGAATATAGGTCGATCCTCGACCTGCTTGCTACCTCCTTTCAGTAAAGTTGAGGGACTAGTCTAGCACTAGCTACTTAATTTCAGTATTCACGTGCAATTCAGGCTATCTAGGTGCTTTGCTGACACGGACACCACCGATTGATCCAGTTTAATTATTATTTAATAACGCGCATGCTAATTTTGGGAAAAGATTAGACGAGATCTCTTACACGTGAAAGATTTGATTCCTTCCTAACACGGATCCGAATCCAACCCGGCCGACGATTTGTTTTGTATAATAATAATAATAATCAAATTACTAATATAACAACAACAAAAACATTCCCGATTAAATATGGTTTAGCAATTGGAACTGATCTCTTGGTCTCCTAACTTTTTGGTGTATTAATTAAGTGATATATGCAATAGTTTGGTGTCCACCAGGCTGTATCATATCAAACCGATTCTTGGATCCGACTATGTCAGCCGTCGAAGAAAAAGTAATTGTAGAGACATTTGAACCAGACTGGTCGAACCAAACCGAATGCAATGGTGTTATCATTGTTTTCTAAATTTTCTTTTACTATTAATTTTTGGCGATTCTTGTGATTTGGTATGAACGGACCATTGCACAGCCCTACTTAGCTTGTAGTGTGAAACGAGCTAGGTTTGGTTTAGAGATAGCACTGATGGGTTGGATTTCAAAATGATGATTCATTTCACAGTCAACCATCACACTTGCAATGGATTGACATTAGAATGCTTTCATAAGTCTCTTACTGTATGAGAAGACAGCATAAATTAGATCAAATTGTGGTAAATTGATTGGATTCGTGAATTGGTAGATCTATGAATTGGATCAAATAAATTGTTGAATTCATGATTGGATCAAATGAATTGGTGGATTGAATTATGTATCCAAGTGCCAACTAAATATTGGACCAATATCTAAATTTCAAAAAGTTTAGGTAATAAAATTCCTTATTAATTTTTTATACCAATACGTAATTTCCAATGATATTGTATGTTGAAAATTAAATTATATGTGTCAAAACATAGAATATAAATGTATAGGTACTAAATTTTTATTTTCCAAATAACCATGAATGATGCAATTGCATTTGCTGAAAACTTTGATTTATAATGATAGACCTCCAGTCCTACTAATTTTCCCAGATCCCGGTAAGCACCCTCTCGTTGTGACCGCAACCTTATTTAAGGCATGTTGGATTTATCAAAAGGTAAAAATAAAATACGTCCATTCTTTTCACAGTGGTTGTTTGGATCCAAGATTTGAAAATGAAGGTTTGCGTAAAAGCTCGAAATTTAGAAAAAACATGATTGTTGATAGATTTGATTCATTTGGGATATTTTTTATTTATGGAAGATTCATTTGGGATTTGAGAACATTACTATTTAGATGTTAGATTTTATAAAATAGGATTGGTTTATTTAACACCAAGATTTTTGTCTCATCGCTCAAATCTCATCAAATTATTTTAAACTAGGTGGTGATGCTGCGCCTTGTCGCGAGGTAGAGATGGTCTATCGGAATATATTATGTAGCCCATTATGGTGTTTGGTTAGTACTGTTAGTCTAAAATTAATTTTTTGTTAGCAATTTTGTTAGTAATTTTTTACTTGACAATATGATATTTTATAAAAGAGATACATGGCGGTCAACATCCAAAAGTTTAGTATTTTAACTAAGAAAAGAGTTACCAAATTATTAACGATAACACACACATAACTAAGATTTTGATGCATTGCAACAGATTTAGCTAATGATTTGTATTTCGAAAAATTTGATTAATAATTTAAATGTTTTTTAGATTTTTGGCTAATAAATTATAGTTATCTAAACCCAAGTAGACCCATTGATTATAAGTATGGTATGGATGACGTATATAAGAGTTTGAAAGTTTGTAGATGGGTTTGGGTAAGGTATGAATATTTACTTCCATAATCTAATTGTGTATGAGTTGGGTATGGATACCTATTTATTTTAAGGTTTTTAATTACACATAAAAAAAAGGTACCAAAATGTAATAAACAAAAAATTTAGGTACTAAAATATAATATTTCATCAATACTTTGAGGACTTATATGCCAAAAAAATAAACTTAGGTTAGCAATCTAAATATCTACTAAGTTTATAAGGTGCCGAACTATAATTTGCATATGGATAAAACCCATCAAATTCTACTCATTTACCATCTATTTAGATTTCATACTCAACCCAATTGAGTTGGACAAAAAAATATCCATGACAAAAAAATTGTCATCATGCCAAAGTACTCCCACGAATGTTAGTGAACACCATCACAAGAAAAAGAACAAAAACAGTTACATGTAGGTTAGCAAATTGGTTTCTCAATTCATCACAATAGGTTGATAATTATACAAAGCTGATAGGTTATAAAAAGAATGACAATATGTAAGATTAGTATGAGCTTTTTTGTGGAAATGACAATACATAAGATTAGTAGGGGCCTTTTTTTTTTTTGAAAAATGTATTTTATATTAAAATTAAATTTAGGGTACAAAATATAAAATGTACATTATAATGACTAATTAATAATTTTTTAGGCAACAAGTAACTGGCCACGTTAGATATTCACTTGGATATATAATAAACTTTCAAATTCGTCAACTCCACACATTAGATATTCACTTTTTTATACACCCAAATGTTAGTTCTGGTCAATTTCGACTAATTTTGGATATGGGGTCCAAATTCGTGACCATACAAACGACCCCTTAGCTGACCACGTTTAAGGAATGTTTCTACTTTGTCGCGTACAAATAAAAAAAAAATCTGAGCCGCGGCCACGCGGAGTGATAAGAATAAAAACATTCCCATGAAATATGATCCAGCAGCTAATTAACCTGACATAATTATATTCCTTTAATTTGACTGCAACTTTTTTGCTGTACGATAAATAATAATGTGATATATGGTGGGTGCATGGCCGCCACTTGCTTTGCTTAATTATATAATCAATGTAATGGCAACCGCAGAGGCCATTTTCCCCAAGTCTTTCCTTATATATAGACAGCAACCAATGAGACCATTTCCCTCACACAGCCAGCAGCTTCCCAGTTATAGTAACCTACAACCTCCCAAAATATTCCTAAAAGAGAGAGCTAGAAGAGAGGGAAAGAACAAACATACCTACCACCAAATTACAATGTCACCAACAATCTCATTCGAGTCAAATGCCGGTTCGACCGATTTCATGGACCGAATCAAGCCTGCCAAATTTCAAGGCACACTTTGGGGGGGTCACTTTCTCATGACCAATATCAGTGAGGAGGTAATTAGATCGATCACTCGATGTGTGTTTTGAATGAAAATCTCGAGATAGAGTTTATTATCTTACTTTTTATTAGATAAAGGTGACATATATTGATTTTTTTTATTATGTTATATTGTCATTGCACATTAGTAAGTAACATTGCCTCTTTTTTTAACGCATGTCATTAGTAGCAAAGACTTATTGTTATAGTAATTTAATTATCAATTCTTGTAGTTCCTTTCATCAACTACATTGTTTTCTTAAACTCTGTTATATATCATCTTACTAACAAAACAATACAAATCATCATTGCTTAATAAAACTCTCTTCTAACCCATTTCAGGCTCATCTGGCACAAGAGAAGGAGAGCAGGGAACATGAAGTTCTGAAGGAAGAGGTGAGGAGGATGGTGACAACCGATGGAATTAATGGAGCAGTCGACGACGTTAGTGTTCAGGTCATAACCCAGAAGCTACATTTAATAGATGTAATTCAACGATTAGGGCTTGCATATCATTTTGAGACGGAGATTGAAGAAGCTCTGGAGAAAGTTTATGTTCATGGGGGAGAGTCATTTATTGAAAAGGACAGTAACATTGATTTGTACCATGCGAGCCTTTGGTTTCGATTGCTCCGGCAACAAGGATTCCGTGTTTCCCCCGGTATGTGTCCTCCCCGGCCCACTCGTCAAGTTGATAAAGATCCAATAGTTATTATGGTGATAAACCTTTAATACAATTGTTCGGTAGGTATTTGTTGCAACTTATTATTTATTATTACTACTACTGTTGTGCACCGGTGTAGATGGGTTCAAAAGTTTCATGGATGGTGAAGGGAAGTTCAAAGAATTATTGGCCTCAGACGAGCAAGGACTACTAAGTCTGTATGAGGCAGCACATGTGGCATTCAATGGAGAAGTTATATTGGACGAAGCCATGGAGTTTGCAACCAAGAATCTAGAGTTGATGCTTCAGAATCACAAGGGCTCTTCTTTAACGAAGAAGCATGTCGAGTTTTCCCTCAACCTTCCCGTCTGGAAATGTGTCCCCAGAACACTTGCAAGGCACTCAATCGACGTTTACTCCCAAGACGAGAACGCCTGCCATGATCAAACAATTATCTTGAGGCTTGCAAAGTTGGACTTCAACATGGTGCAGAAATTCCACAAGCAAGAGCTTCACCAACTATCATTGTGAGTCCTACTACACATATTCGACTTTAATCATAGAATTACAACCAAAAAAAATTATTTTTTCAATCTCTAGAGATAGAGTTCATTAAATTATTATGAGCAAAAAAATTATAACTAATTTTAGACCGTTTTGTTTATAAATTTATCAATGTGATGTCGGTATATAGTCACGTTAGTTCAAATCAGTACGATATGTATACCTTGAATTAATTAACTCGTGACATGCCATATATGTAGGTGGTGGGCGAGTCTTGAAACCACGACTAAATTCACATATGCAAAAGACAGACTTGCGGAGTGCTATTTTTGGATCAATGGTGCTTACTTCGAGCCCAAGTATCAACTGGCAAGGATCATACTTGCCAAGATCGGATGCGTAGTGACCCTCTTGGACGACACCTATGACAACTATGGGAACTATAAAGAACTTGAGCTACTTACACAAGCCATTCAAAGGTACAAATTCTCATCGTCATTAATTGACTGTCAGCAAAACTATTAATTATCACTCTAATGTTGTGCTTACTACAATTAAACACAATGCTTAACTACGTACGTACAGGTTGGATATCGGTGGTCTGGAACTCCTTTCCGACAAGTTGAAGGAGGTGTATCAGATCGTCATTGACCTGTTCGAAGACATCGAGCAGGAACTCGCAAGAAGTGGATTAAGTACTCTTGGTGTTGACTACTCTAAGGGACAGGTATATAGGTGTTTGTTTCATACTTCAGGCGTCGAATTGAAGCGCTTGTGTTGATGAAATGAAATGAAATAACGTTATTAATTGATTCTTTTCGTACATGTATATGTACGTAGTTCAAGAAAATGTGTTGGGCCTTCTTGGCTGAGGTCCGGTGGCGCACGACAGGTCAGGTCCCGGCTCTGGAGGAGTACTTAATGGATGCAAATGTAACGAGCAGCTATCCTTTTCACTGCACAGCTTCCTTCTTGGGAATGGAAGCAGAGGCAGAGGCTGTCACCAAAGAGGCCTATGAGTGGGTAACCAATGAGACCAACAAGATGGTCATAGCAGCGTCTCTCATTTGTAGGGTACAAAACGACATTGTGTCTCACAAGGTACGTACCGATCGACAACACGTACGTACGTACACTAGCTAGCTAGCTAGTATAAATATATATACACATAGCTCGATCTATTAACTTTATTTTTTTTGAACAATGGCGAATCGTGTCGCTCGGGTGTACGCATGCACGCACGCAGTTCGAGCGAAAGAGGAAGCACGCGGCTTCAGCAGTGGAGTGTTACATGAAGGAGCATGACGTCTCTCAAGAGGATGCGGTTGATGTGCTGTGGGAAGAGATTTCGAAATCTTGGAAAACCATCATTAAGGAATGTGAGAAACCAACTCAATTTTCTACGGTTGTGACAGATCGAGTTCTCAACTTTGCTCGCGTCATCAGTGTGATGTACGGGAACGGTGATGCTTTCACTCACCCCCATCTTCTCAAGGGTCACATTGCTTCCTTGTTCGCCAACCCTGTGCCGCTTTGAACCACGTCTAAGATAATATATTTCTTCCTAAAGTTCATTGTTCCAACGCCCTCTTCACGTCTTTCTTGTGCCGCTTTGATTCGTGTCAGGTTCCGTCGTCGTTTGGATCCTTTATCTATGTATCTGTGTGAACTCTGAAGGTCCGACCTTCGCCGCCTATATATATATATATATATGAGAGTTGAATGAGATTTGGGTGTCGTGTGGTTTCTCAAATGGTGAAATTGATGTAAACAATTTGATGTATTGTGATCAATTGATGTATTAATAAATTTGGTTTATTATAAGATTTGATATTCATGACGGTAATTGTTGTCCAATTTTTATAACTCTAGTTTGACCGACCAATGTGACCAAACTCTTTCGAAAATCTGACTGATTGGGCTTTAGCCTTTTCAGCCCAACTTAATCAAATTCCTTTTGGGTGGAATTTCAGAAGCTGTTGCTAGAGAACTCTGATTCTTGTTATGATATTATCCAGAAAACATAGTATATTGCAGAAATTAAAGAGCAGCAACAAAAAAGAAGATTGAACACCAATCTTTTTACGCGGTTGAACAATCTACATAAAGTGTTATTTTCTCGAATATTAGAAAAGCATGGGATGGAGCAATGAACCTATTTGAAGTGACTCATTTCGTACCGGAGAAACCAATGCATGAACAAGGATTAATTTTACTTCCCCACCTAGAATCCCTTAAGGAAAGCCTTTTCATTGCCCTACACAAACTGCATATAATTTAGAAGGTTCAAGGGAAAAAGATGATGACGGCCAGTTCAAACAATCATTGGCATTAGATGGACAAAGGTTTGTTAAGTGTTGGGGTATGATGAAGGCCCAAATGAGAAAGCCCATAAAAGTGAGTGAGGTTTAAGATGTTGGTCCAATGAAGACAAAGTTCGGCCCAATGGCGTATAGGACAGCCTGGATATGTTGGGCCAGGGCCTTGACAGAGGGCGCACATAGACAAAAGACGAATAGCGGAGAGCGTATGGAAAACTGAAGAAATGAGATCATGTGTCTGCAATTTTTGAGAGTGGTATCAGATGGTCTAGGCACATGGTAAATGGAAGGTACAGTACATTAATTATCATGTTGATGGAAGGCGGATTTAGGGTCATTGGTCGGCGAGGCTCCGAGTATAAATAAGGAAGTAGGTAAATCTCATTTATTTAGTTCGACATTCTTTCACTAAACTTCTCTTTATTTCTCTCTCTAAATTTGTACAATAACTTGATTGTCGGAGTACTAGCGGATCACGTAGCTCCGTTGTGCGCCATTTGTCATGATTCAAGGAAAGGATAAGAAGGCACACGACGGGTGAGGGAGCCATCTTGGCTTAAACATTAAGTTTATTACGAGGCTTAAAAAAAATTGTTCAACTTGTGGTAAATTATTGCTCTGCATTTTCTTGAGATAATGGTAATTTATATTTATATTATTATTAAGGCAAAAAGTTAAGAGTTTGAACATAAAAAAACAACAAACAACAGCTGCACATTAGACAGCAGCCAAAGGAAAAAGAACGGAAAGAAATTGAAAAGCCCCAAATGAAATGAGATTCATGCCACTAGCTTCATTTTTTTTAAATACCGACGATCAGCTAACTCTCTTTTTATATGCCATGATGATCTCATCTTAGAGTCGGGATAGCAAGCAAAGGTTTGGCCTTTTGCAAAGTCACTCCAAATTTCTCCTTCATATCGATTTGTTCTGGCTCAACTCCATCCGGCAGCTTCCAGTCAAACCAATGAACCAACGAACCTAACATCATATGCAACATCCTATGCGCTAATGACATTCCAGGGCATATCCTTCTCCCTGCACCAAATGTGATAAGTTCAAAGTGGTTCCCCCTGACATCAACCTCTGAACCCAAGAATCTTTCTGGTGTGAACGAGTTTGGGTCGTTCCATATCATCGAGTCTCGACCTATTGCCCATAGATTTACTAGGACCTGTGCACCTTTGGGCACGATGAAACCATCGATTTCCACATCTGCCCCTGCTTTATGGGGAAGTAGCAAGGGAAGAGGCGGATGCAATCTGTAGGTCTCTTTTATTACTGCCTGCAGATATGGCAATCGAGAAATGTCTGATTCCTCTAGATGATAGTCTTTTCCAATCGTTTGATCCAATTCTTCCTTGACTTTAGTGAGTGCATTAGGATTGTGGAGGAGCTCTGTCATTGCCCATTCTAGAGTGGTTGCAGTTGTATCAGTCCCAGCAACAAATAAGTCCTGATATGTCAAACCAAGATCAAGAGTAAAGATCAAGTAATCTATATCAATAGCTTTTTAGTAAAAGCAAACTCAAAAAACAATCCACTAATGCAATTAATGTATATGTTATTATATAGTTGAACAAAAATACTCACCAAGAACAAGTACTTGATGCGCTGTAGATCCATCTGAACCTCTTGGCGATTGTCGCCACCACCATGGATGGCTAGAAGCGTGTCGAGCATGTCGTTAGCCGAGACATAGCTCTCCGACTTCTGTTCTCGCAACCGCTCGTCAATTAACCATTCAAAGAGATTCAAAGCCTTCTCCAAGTGACCCCGAATCCTCCTCTGTATCCCCTGAAAATCAAACCTGGCCAAAATATGGAAAAAGTCCCCCAAGTTGGGAGTCCCAGCCTCATGGGTCATGCCGCTCGCAAGCTCCTTGAACTTCCTGGCAGCCTCCGAGGTCTCCTCGTCGGCCAGATCCATCGACAGGATGGTCGCCGACAGCGCATTCAAAGTGGCCCTGAACGCCACTTTCCCCACATCAACCGCCACCTTTTCTTCGCAGCAGGCATTTCGTCGAACACCTTCCACGAGCGCCACGATCTTGTCCCTCCGGAGGCCCTGGTTGGAATCCAGCTTCTGGGGCGTGAAGATGTACGAGTTGCAGACTCTCCTGAGGTTCCTCCACCTGGGTTCCACGGGGAGCATGGTGATGGAGAATTTGTGGAGGTCGAGGGTTTGCAAGGCGAGGGGGACGTGGCGGTTGGAGAGGAACTTGTCGTGCTTTAGGAGGATCTCCTTGGCTACAGCGGGGGACGAAGCCACGATGGTGGTGACTTGGCCCAGCTTGAGGCTCATCAAGGGCCCATGGACCATGGCGAGGTCGGCCAGTGATTTGTGAGGGTTGAGGCCCAGGTTGTGGATGTTGCCGATGATTGGCAGCCGGGCGGGCCCCGGCGGGAGTTTGGCCGCCGGGGTTTGGTTCCTTTTCAGAAACCGGAGGATGGTGACGGTGAAGAAAAAGCAGAGTAAGCAATTCAGGAGGAGGAAGAAGGAATCCATTCTCTCCGGCTTGCTTGCTATCCCAATGCTGCGGACCTTGATCGTGAACTACAGTACAGAAGAGATGAATATTTAAAGAAACCTCCACAAAGCAAACAGCAGCCCGCCCTGCATCTCCATGTGCATTAACATAACACTAGTACTGTTCTATCTTTGTTGTTTTCTCTTTTGGAGGGAAGAACATTATTATTATTATTATTATTATTATTATTATTATTATTATTATTATTATTATTATTATTATATTTATCACAGCATTATGTTAATGGTTCCTCCTACTTCTTTACAGATAGATTCCCACGATATATACCCAAATCAAATTACATAAATGGTAATATTTTGCTCTCTCTACTATCTGTGTTTTTTCCACCGAACCTCTTAATATATATTCTAAGTTGCTCAACTTTAAATGTTTTTTCTAATTAAGCTCTTGCCGTCAGTTCATTTGATATACCTCCTTTAAAAGGGAGTTACTATTCGTAGCCCTAACGTTTCCAATTTTATCGCCCTAAATTAATAAATGGACAAATTTACCCCTAACCACAATTGTATCGCCCTAAACCTCAAATGAAGATTGCCGCTGGTTTTTCAACAAAAAAAAACAATTGTTGTCGGTCATCCAAAACCAGATTTTGCTCCCGTCGCCGCTGCGAGCTTGATGGGAAGGACAAAGAAGAAGAAGTGCCCAGTCGTCATCGTCATCACCAACCTCTAGTGCCTAATCGACGTCCGAAGAAGGAACCCCTCTTGTCGTCGACCATATCCGTCGGGATGAGGAAGAAAACGGGAGGATAAGAGAGTTGCCGCCGACCTCGCCTCTGACGGGATTTCAACCCATCTGACGAGCAGGAGAGGTGGGCAGGCCGGCGGCTGGTGAGCAGAGATAAAGCTTTCCGGTCCTCTGCTTTCAATACAAATGCAGAGATCGATCTCACAAGGTTCCAGATTAGAAGGATGAAGAAGTGACCAACAGCCTGGATACTCTGGAAATGGCCTCTGCATTGACATAAGAGAAACAAGCTATCATCCAACTTAACATCTGATGATATCACAACTTACTGCAACTAAAAGGCAAACCAAACCATTTAAAGAACACCAAATCGGAATTAAGTCTAAAGAAATAATTTTTCTTTCGATTATCCTGAACTAACTTCAGGAGCCGCAGTGAAATAATGTGCGCTTCAATTACTTAGATCCGGGGCGGACGGCGTCGACAGGGCAGCGGAAAGGTCTGTTTTAGGGATTTAGGGCAGGAAATTCGTCTGTTTTGTTAATTTAGGACGAAATTTTTAAAAAAGTTAGGGCGTTAAATAGGAATCCAGCCTTTAAAATGGATGCCAAATTATGTTTAATAAATCTCCTAAAATTCACGTTAGAAACCCTTTTTGAGTGGTATACGAATGGAACATGCAATAAAGGTACTCTTAGTGAGATATTTGGGGACCAGAGATGTTTTCCAAAATGGCTTAAATGGTCAGAAAATGGCTTAAATGAACTGGTCTTAGGTGTTTTGTCACCTAATGTGACAAGAGATGTTTTCCAAAACCTATAACATTAATGCTATATATAGCATTGTAAAATTCCTGCCTCGAATACTGAGCTCAAAGTTGTGAAACAAAGAAAAATGGAGCAAGTAGGTGGCGATGATCATGAGATGTTCATCCCGTTGGGCACCATTCTAATTAACCCACTAATCCTCCTCTTCTCGACCCTGCTACTAATCCTCCGATCTCACCACCTCAAGAAGACGACAGGAGCAGCCTTTCCCCTGCCTCCAGGGCCATGGAAGCTCCCCATCATCGGGAACATCCACCAGCTGGCCTTCTCCTCCAACTCCAGCCTCGTCCACCGCAGCTTCGCGGCCCTGGCGAGGCAGTACGGCCCCGTGATGCAGCTCAAGCTCAGGGAGATGTGGAACGTCGTCGTGTCGTCCCCTGAAGCAGCCAGAGAGTGCCTCAAGATTGAATATAAATTAAGAAATTGTTTGATTAATATATTGATATACATGTGTAATAATTAATGCAGGACATATTCCTATCCGGGGGTGACACTTCCCCTACTATCCTGGAATGGGTTATGACTGAATTGATGAAGAACCCAAAAGAGATGGAAAAAGTACAAAGAGAAGTGAGAGGCGTGTTTGACAATAAGGGGAAAGCAATAGATGAAGCCTATTTTATACTATTTCAAATCGGTGGTCAAAGAAACTTTCAGATTGCATCCTCCAGTTCTTTTATCGGTTTCTAAAGAAGGTTGAGAAGCGGTTGTGACCGATGGATACCAAATACCAGCAAAAGCAAGGGTCATCGTCAATTCTTGGGGCATCGGTCGAGATCCCGAACACTGGACCCACCCATATCAAAATATACCGGAGAGATCCCGTGACACGTCCATCGACTATAAGAATAATGATTTCCAGTTCATTCCATTCGGAGCTGGATGATGGATTTGCCCAAACATGAATTATGGGCTCGCTGTTGTCCATCTTATACTCGTAAATTTGCTCTACCATTTTGATTGGAAGCTCCCAACCCAAATCAAACCCCAAGAACTTGATATGTCAGAAGAATTTGGGGCTACAACTGTAAGAAAAAAATAATTTGTATCTCATTCCCATTCCCTACCATGCACCCTAAATAGTAATTACTAGGGTGATGAATTGAGTGCAAGAGGTGTGTGATACCATTTTTTTTTGTTTTACGGTGATTGAAGTTTTCATTTAGAGACTTCTGTTGTAATGTGTTTTGAGAATTAATAAAATTATCTCGTCTTTCTTCTCGGTCGCTAGCTACAGTCTTCTCTACACAAAGAATATGCAGTACTATATCCTTGATATTGATCAAGCAGTTGAGATGTCTGTTCGGGCCGGGTTCAGTTACCCGATGTACTAAAAAACCGAAACCATTATCCTTTGAGAACCGAACCCAAAACCGATAAGAGTTATTATATTAAAAAAAATCTTCAGTTGGCGAGCCTGCAGATCTTGAATCGTATAAGGAAAATCAGTTTCATGATTGACATTAACCACTTATTGTGTAAGATTTCTCCTAATTATAATATTTGCCATTTTATATAACTCGGTACCAAGGTACAGTTCATTACTTGGTTAACGATGAGCATTTTTATTAAGGACAGTCTCATAACAAAACATGGGACAACAAAGCTTTACGCGCAGGAAAGAAAAATCAGGGGCATTGTCTGATAGTGAAACTTAATTGGGAATTCCAAGCTATAAGGTGTAAATGGATTTACAAACGTGGAATTAGGCAGCTTGGTTTTCCAAGACTCGGGTCGTTCAATGATACTTTGCTTACAAAGTAATGCTGGAGATTGGTGATGTGGCATGATTCCTTGGTTGCTCCACTCAGTGCAAGAAATTGAGCAGTACTTTTTGCTACAGAAGGTAAAGATTCAAAATTAGGGGAGCTGTCTCAGTCACTACTGAAGGGATTCAAACCAGGAACCTCCAGGTTCAAGGTTAGCTGCAACTTTATATGTCAGTTTGAGTTTTTTCTCAGCCTTGTTGCTGATTAGTAAGGTGGCTTACTGGCTTTCGAATTAGGTTTGGCTTGGATTGTATTGTTCTTATGGTTTCTGTAATTTTATCTAGACAATAAAGTTTTATTTAGAAGAAGAAGAATGGGGGGAAAGTCGGATTGGGAAAAAAACAGTGACATAATTGGTACCTAATAGCTATACTGCGAAAAGAAAAAGAAAGGAAAGAAATGGAAGACCCTAAATGAAATGAGATTGATGCTAATGACCTGCATCACCAATTTTTCTCATCTCAGATGATCAGCCAACTCTCTTTTCATACACTATGATCATTGATGGTCTCATCTCAGAGTCGGAACAGCAAGCAAAGGTTTGGCTTTTTGCAGAGTCACTCCAAACTCCTCTTTCATATCTAGTTGTCCTGGTTCGACTCCACTCGGTAGCTTCCAGTCGAACCAATGAACTAATGAACCTAACATCATATGTAACATCCTATGCGCTAATGACATTCCAGGGCATATCCTTCTCCCTGCACCAAATGTGATCAATTCAAAGTGGTTCCCCCTAGCATCAACCTCCGATCCCAAGAATCTTTCTGGTGTGAACGAGTTTGGGTCGTCCCATATCATCGGATCTCGGCCTATTGCCCATAGATTTACTAGAATCTGCGCACCTTTGGGCACGGTGAAACCACCGATTTCCACATCTGCCCCTGCTTTATGGGGAAGTAGCAGGGGAAGAGGTGGGTGCAACCTGAAGATCTCTTTTATTACTGCTTGCAAATATGGCAATCGAGGAATGTCTGATTCCTCAAAATGATTGTCTTTTCCAATCGCTTGGTCAAGTTCTTCCTTGAGTTTAGTAAGAGCGTTGGGATTGCGGAGGAGCTCTGTCATTGCCCATTCCAGAGTGGTTGCAGTTGTATCAGTCCCAGCAACAAATAGATCCTGATATCTCAAGCCAAGATCAAGAGTAAAGAAAGTATGTTATCGATACCTACCGTTGTAGCAACAACAACAAAAACAAACAACTCAGTGGCTAGCTAGGATCAAAACTAAAGAATGAGTGTGTGCAACAATTAATCCATGCAGTAGTACTAATGCAAATGTATACCTCATTACTTTGAACACATGCAAATACTCACCAAGAACAAGTACTTGATGCGTTGTAGATCCATGTGAAATTGGCGATTTTCGGCATCGTCATTGATGGCTAGAAGCGTGTCGAGCGTGTCGTTAGCGGAGACATAGCTCTCCAACTTCCGCTCCCTCAACCGTTGGTCGATTAACCATTCAAAAAGATTCAAAGCCTTCTCCATATGAACCCTAATCCTCCTCTGTATCCCCTGCACATCAAACCTGGCCAAAAACGGGAAAAAGTCCCCCAAGTTGGGCGTCCCAGCCTCATGCGTCATCCCGCTCGCAAGCTCCTTGAACTGCCCGGCGGCCTCCGACGTCTCCTCATCCGCCAGATCCATCGTGAGAATGGTCGCCGACAGCGCATTCAAAGTGGCCCTGAACGCCACTTTCCCCACATCCACGGCCACCTTGTCCTCCTCGCAGCAGGCATTTCGTCGAACAGCTTCCACGAGCTCCACAATCTTGTCCCTCCGGAGGCCCTGGTTGGAATCCAGCTTCTGGGGGGTGAAGATGTACGAGTTGCACACTCTCCTGAGGTTCCTCCACCTTGGTTCCACTGGGAGCATGCTGATGGAGAATTTGTGGAAGTCGAGGGTTTGCAGGGCGAGGGGGACGTGGCGGTTGGAGAGGAGCTTGTCGTGCTTTAAGAGGATCTCCTTGGCTACAGCTGGGGAAGAGGCCACGATGGTGGTGACTTGGCCCAGCTTGAGGCTCATCAAGGGCCCATGGACCTTGGCTAGGTCGGCCAGTGATTTGTGAGGGTTGAAGCCCAGGTTGTGGATGTTGCCGATGATTGGCAGCCGGGCGGGTCCAGGCGGGAGTTTGGCCGCCGGAGTTTGGTTGTTGGTTGCTTTCCTTGCCAGGAAGCGGAGGAAGGTGAAGGAGATGAGGCCGAGTAAGCAATTCACGAGGAAGAAGAAGAAGAAGAAGAAGAAGAAGAAATCCATTCTATCCGGCTTGCTATCTATCCCAATGCTGCCTGCAGCGGATATTGATCGTAAACTATTTGTACAGTGGTAGATGATTATTTAAAGAAACCCACACAAAGCAAACACCAGCTGGCCTGGCGACCCTGCATCTGCATTCACATAATAAAACTAGTGATCTTTGTTGTTTTCTCCTTTTGGAGGGAATCACTCGCACTATTATTTTTATCGTAACTTGTTGATGATTCCCATAAATTGGAAAAAACAAATTTGTTCAATGTGCATCAATGCCAGATTGGTACCGGATGACATTTGGGTTCCCACTGAACCTCAATATTCCAAGTTGCTCAACTTTAAACATTCTTTTTTTTTTTTTTTTTTTTTTTTTACTTCTTTCCAGTTTCCATCTATTCGTTGCTGTGTCTTAGTTAAAATGGATATAAAGGGATGCGTATCAGATAACATATATCTTAAATACCAAACAAAGCTTAATAAGGTTATTTTTTTAAATCTTTTTTTATGGGGATATTTTTTTAATTCTTTTATAGATTGTTTCTTTTTTAATAAATTATCACTCAAAATGACTAATTGTTATATCTCAATATTTAGCTAAGATAGTTTAGTTGAAATTGTTTTATCTCAACTTTTAACTGAAAAAATATACATAATCACATACCAAACGTTGTATTTTACCGTTCATCAAATTCGTAAAAACACACATAGTATTGTATATGTATTAATTCACATTAGAAACCTTTTCTTTGATTGAAACCCATCTCTCCTAATAGTTGATGGTTAGCATATGACAAGGTAGGTTTTTGTATTTTAGTACTTTTCTTAGTGGATTCATTGTAGATTGTTTAAACAAAAGTGAGTGAGTATGGTCTCTACTCTCCCACTGGCCACTGCCACTATAATACTGACAATAGTCAATACCTTTGACGAGCTTTGGGCCCTGATACCACAACGGCAAGCCTGCCTTCCTCTCCTCCGATTCTTAGAAAATAGCCCAGGTCTGACTATAGGCCCATCATATTGACGAGGCCCAAGCCCATCTTGTTCTTGTTCACCCTTATCCACATTTTTTATGCTTGTTCCTGTAACAATCCAAGGATCAATGAGGTACACGATGACAAGTTAAAAGGCTTAGACGCCCAAAATGTTCGTTGAGTTCCGAGTTCTGTGACAAAATGCTTAGCAAATTTAAAATCGTGTAGCAAAATGCTAAGCAATCACTTTGTCCAACTTCGGTGTTAGTTTGGATCATGAGTTAGCGTAAGAGATAGACTTGCCATGTTACCAACTTCAACCAATATCATATCCCAAGTCTCATCATCCAACCTCACTGTCTGTATTATCATATATTAGCTACTATCCAGTTCAATTGCATTTGTTTTTGTCCAACATTGTTATGATTAATTAATGGGTCATATCGAAGAAGCAAACATATACATGCCTATGTCGAAACTAATAAGAAACTCAATTAGAGTAGAAATTAAACTCATTGGGAGGTCGATTGCAAGCATATCCCGTTCAATTGCATGAGTGACCTACATTGTTTGAAGTTAATTATTTTATACGAAATCTTGAGATTAAGTACACACACTTCAAACTCGCAAGAGTCCAAAGGCAGCTTACTGAGAGATGATGGTGATTAATACAAGGTTAATTTCTTGGGAACTTGCTCACTAGAACAAACCCTAAAAGAATTCTTCATCAAGTTCAATTTGTGACTACTAAGAGGGTAGATTTTCTAGTTCACTTGTTTCGTGCTGGACAGAGAAAATATGTCCAGACATGATGACTCGATATTTGCACATGTTTTCCCTTTTGTTTCTTGATCGTTTAAGCTTGCATTATTGCTTCTTTGGCCTATTTTACGCTAGGTTGTGTTCCTTTGTCACATTTCAGGTCCTAGCACATAAAGTGAAGCGTAGGCGCAAGTTTCAAGTCAATCGGAGATCAATTGGCGACTCGGGGGAAGAAACTCGGGTATGACTTGAAGAAGAAGGGATTTCTACCCCAGTTTGTGACCATATAATCATGTAATCTTTTCATGAGAAGAAAGAGGACGAGAATACGAGCGTCTGGGATCAAACGGCACCTGATTTGGAGTCCGAACGAGGGAGAAACGAAGAATCAAAGATAGGGGAAAATTGGTTTCGGGCTTCTCTGAGAAACAGAAGGGGGCCCTATCGTGAAGCTAAAATCCCCTATCGTGAACCAAAAATCCCCGGTCGTGAACTAAAATCCCTGGTCGTGACCCAAAAATCCCCTATCGTGAACCAAAAAATCCCCCGTCGTGACCTAAAATACCCTACCGGGTATTTTGACCGGGGATCGCGAACGCAGGCTGTTAAAAGCCTGTTTTGTGCGTTTTTGCAGAGGGAGAGCTGGGTTTTGGATCCCAAACACCCTAGGGACAAACCAAAGAGAGAGAGAGGGGGATTTGAGGGCATTCTTGGAGTGGAATTGGAGGATTTCTTTGCCTTGGAAGCTCGATGAACAAGCCCGAACTTGAAGACTGATCATCTGAAGATTCTTACTGCAGTCTCTCTCTTCTCTATGGAGTAACTTCCCTTCACTTAGGTTTTGAGGAACCCTAGCTATGTTTGTTTGATTGGATGATTGTATGATTACTCTGACTTGATAATCTTGAGTTCATATTCAATCTATGCATGTTTTCATGATTCAATTCTGCTTTAGTCAAGATTATTGATTCTGCTTTGATCCTATGAGAGGGAATACCTGATTAGGTCAATAGAGCACCATAGATTGATAGTAGTGGATCGATTGCTTTAGTCGAGGGTTGATTCACTGCTTTGTATCGATTGAGAACCTCTTTCGATAGAGGGAGTCTAGTTCAGAACGCCTTGATCAGTTGTTCTAGAGAAGGATACGTCCCTCTAGGCAATTGACTCAAGAGGGCCTTGTTCCTTTAGTCGAGACTCAAGGTCTAGTCAAGGATTCTCCGCATTGTGAATGAAAGTGAAACAAGTTAGAAATCATCAATCGTTAGTCTGGCTAGTGGCTAGGGGGAATCATACATAAGTGAGTTCCCAACCTGAGCCACTATACTGCAGTCCCTTCCATTGGTTACACTTGGCCATTGTTAGGTGTTGTGTCATAGCGAGTCAAGTTTTTGGCGCCGTTGCCGGGGACTTTCTAGAGTATTAGGAAAGGCAGAAGTTTGTTACTTTAGCGTTTTTCTTTTCTTTTCTTTTCCACCCTTGCTTTTCACTTGGGTGTTTTTTGTTTTTGTTGGTGCAGATCTGAATCATGGATCCTCATGGCTTCTCCAACAATTGGGGGTATCCACCACCACCCGAGTGGTATTACCCCGAGACTCCCTGGAGCAATCAAGGAGGAGAAGACTATGGATTCGGGTTCCAGTACCAACCCCCTTACTACGGAGAACAACCGGACCCTTGGGCATATCAAGAACAACCTCATTACCAAGAAGAATTTTTCCCACAACCAGAGGGGCCATTGGAGCTGGAATTACCCATGGCGGCCTTCACGGGCCATTCTGCAGAGCCATGCTACACTCCACAGCCAAATCCACACTATGAATTGAGACTTCTCATGGAGCAGTTTGCTCGAGACTGTGATAGAACATGCTCCAGGATGGATCATTGTGTCCAGGCCTACCGTGAAACAGAGGAGATCCTCCTGAGCCTTAAGAAGAGCGTCGATGATCTTGAGAGATCTTGGGCACAACCTGATCCAGATCACCCTTCTACTACCATACTAGAAGAGGAGGAGGAGGAAGAAGGCTACAAGGACATTGTGGAGCACACTAAAGATGTCACGGAGAGCTCCCGTGATGATCATGATCAGGAATGTCCAGTGATAGACCGTCATTTACACATGTTTTTACCCCCATTCTTACACCGTTTGAGGTGTTGATTCTCGTGTTTTAGGCCGATTTCGCGCTAGGTTGTGCTTGTTTGTGATGTTTCAGGTCCTAGTACGTGAATGAAGGCTTAGGAGCGAGTCTAGGGTCTATTGGACGAAGAACGGACGAATGGCGAGGTTTTTGGGGAGCTGCACGGGCAGGACCAGGGAGGCTGCACGGCCGTGCACGTGAGCAATATGGCCGTGCGCCTTATGCCGAGGACACGCACGGGCAACCCCTGAAGCTCGCACGGCCGTGCACCCTGGCCGTGCGAGTCGGGATTTCCTGGTTTTAAGCCAAATTCCGAACCAAAGAGGGGGGAGAGCTGGGTTTTTGGATCCCAAACACCCAAGGGACAAACCCTAGAGAGAGAGAGCGACTTGGGAACATTCTTGGAGCTATTTTGGAGGATTTCTTCGCCATTGGAGCTCGGGAATCAAGCTTGGAGATGGAGATTGAAGATCTAGATCAGATTTTTGCAGTCTCTCTCTTCTCTATGGAGTAACTTCCCTTCACTTAGGTTTTGAGGAACCTTAGTTCCATGAGTTAGGATCTTTCTTGTATGAAGTTTTGGATGCTATATTGTTTGATTATAATCGAATGATGCATGTTTATTGAGTCAATTGAAGTCTGATCAACTTTTCCTGATTCCTGCTGCAATCTGAGATAGATAGAATCTGATTAGGTTGCTAGAGTCTCATCATTCGGTAGTAGGAGATTGGTTATACGAGAGTTAGCCAGTTTACTGCTTTGTACTGGAATCCAATTCCAGTAGTGGAGTTTTGTGCTTATTGCTTCAGCTTTCTATCCCGGTGAAGACTAGTCGTCTGCCGGATAGTTAGACTGAGAGGGCTTGGTCAGCTTAAGAGATTCCAAGCTACTGTCGGATCTTCCGCAGTTTAATCAACAGTAAATCAACCAAAATGAATTACAACTTGGACCTAATTGAGGAGCTAGGGGGAATCATACCTAAGTGAGTTCCCAAACTGTAATTAGTAGTTTTACTTAGTTTAGTTAGTAGAGTAGTTTAGTTAATCAACCCTTAATCTAGTTTGCTAGATAATGAACTGAAGCTGAGTAATAGTAACTCTAGAGACCCGTGGATTCGATATTTATTACTTGTGCCACTATACTGCAGTCCCTTTCATTGGTTACACTTGGCCATTGTTAGGTGTTGTGTTTTAGAGCATCATCCAGTCATAGCCAACCACACCTTCCCACACCCCAAACTGAGCTTTGAAGAGGCGGGCATGAGTGAGGAGATGCGAGAAGATCTCATGAAAGAAACTGCTTGGCAACTTGCTCTCCAATCCGTGCTAGAAGAAGAAGAGCAAGAAAGGGTGCAGAAAGAAGTTGTGGAGGATGACGAAAGTGAAGCTGGAGGAGTTCTTGATCATTTCCCAGGGGTGATACCACATGAAGAAGGAAGGGAATTTGAAGAAGCAATTGGCGTCCAGGCTGAGGACGAAGTTGAGGTGGAAGAGGCTTGCACCGGCCATGAGTTACATTTGATATCTCCACCAAACTTCGAGGAACTGCTTAGCAAGGACCCATTTGCAGTGTCTCTTTGCCAGACCAAGGCCACATCGACATCGGTCCCTCTTGGTGGACGCGATGGTG